CAACTCGTTCCTGATACGCCTTTATCTCTGTAGTAGCCTGCCCGTTGTACTTGACGAGCGGGATCGTCGCGATGGGATTGATGGTACTCGGGTTTCAAGTCGCTGAGCTTGAACTTTCGCGCAATTTTCTCGACGTACGCGTCTTGGCAGAGTAGATCTTCCTGTTTGGTCGATCCTTACAACTCTGATGCCAAGATACCACTTAAATTCTTCTTCGCGCAGATCGTATTTGGATTGGAGATGCTGGACCAGGTCGTTTACCGCCTTCTTCTCTTGCCGTGGGTTGAGAATCAAGATGTCGTCGACATAGACAAGAGCCAGGATTTTGCCGTTGGTAAACACACAAGTTTCTTCATCCGTACGGTCAATCCCTGCCCTCGAGGGCCTGGGAGATCTCATTGTACCAGAGCAGTGGAGACTCTCGAAGACCATACAAGGCCTTGTCAAGTTCCGCGATCATGGTTGAGCCTTCTCCAGGTTTCAAGCCAAGTTCTACAAAGCCTTGCGGGAGCCGGACGTAGACGGGATGGTCCTTCTTTAGGTCGCTGTACAGGAAGGCGTTACCAACGTCGAATTGTCTAACGTCAAGACCGAATCAGGCTGCGATTGCCATCACGATTCTGAAGGTTTTTGCTGCAAGGTGGCTGCATATGTCTCCCGTCGTCGTCCTCGTCCTGCAGGTCGCCACGGACGCAGATCCGAGCTTTGCACCTTTGGAGGTATCCGTCTGATCAAACTTATAGGTGAACACCACTTCAGTGGAAGAGGCGATCCCTGTGCCTTGCTGCGTTCGACCAGTCTCCAGGTGCCACGTCGGAGAGATCGTGCAATTCCTTCCTTATGGCCTCTTTGAAGTCTGGGCCCATCGGGTGGTTTCTAGATCCTGGTAGCGTTTAGGGAGTCGTACAAGGTCATCGCGGTGAAATCGATGATCTCGTGCCGTCTTAGAGACTGCGGCAAGAAAGACACTATGAAATGTTTCGAGGTTTCCCTCTGGATGTTGATCCGCTGGAAGCAGGGCCGTGAAAACGCTGTTGACGTAATCATCGTGCTTCCTCTTTGGCTTTGGTGTCCGGTCACTCTTGCGAGTTGGCTGGTCACCGTAAATCTCCTGTTGACTGCGGCGGGTGCGTTTTGCCGCGTGGTTCTTCAGGAATTGGTTGGTCACCTGACGGCTGCTTGTCCGGTTGCATGCTATTGCCTTCTGAGGAAGGTCGCCGGCGTGGTGGCAGCGGTTGAACTACGATCGTGTCCCGGGTGACTCCTTCAGGACTTGGATCGCTTGAATCAGTCGACCTTTGGCTATCATAGCTTGTTTCTCTGTCTTGTTGGGGCAGAGACTCTAACTCCACTGGAGCTTTCGGCGTTATGATGCTCAGTTAGATCGCTGTTTGAACCAGCCACAGAACGTTGGGCAGGTGAGCTCGGGTCTGTTTGCAACGGTGGGTCTGGTGTTGAAATCTTTGAGCCCGTTGACCTGGAAGCTGGTGAGGCGTCCCTTCTGTCCAGCTGTGGTGTTGGTTCCGGCGTCGGAAGGACCGGGGATTCGCTCAGAGGCGTGAAGTCTGTCTTGCGATAGAGGCTGCAGAAGCTGCGATCCAGCGTCTTTAACATCTGAGATGGCACCTCTAGCGTCTTCCACCCCCGAGTTCGAACCCTCCAGGTCGAACCCCAAGATATGATGATCAAACTCATAGAGAAATTCATCCAAGAGCGTGTCCCAGTCTCGCTGAGGAAGCGGATCGAGCGCCTGTGACGTTGGCTTGTACTCGGCGATTGCCTCAGTCTCGAGCTGTTCTTCCTTCTCTGGATCAAAGAATTCCTCCTCGTTGAATCGTACATCTCGGGACAGGATAACCTGATTGAGCTTGGGGACCCAGATGCGATAGATATTGCTGGCGTGGTAGCCAACAAAGTATCCAACGTGTGCTCGTGGGCCAAGCTTGAATTGATTGATGTCTTTCCGGGCCTTGTATCGGCTGTTCAGGGATATGCTTTGCATCCATACGCATACACCCCGCCAGTCTGGTCGGAGATCCTTGTTTGCATCAAAGTCGACGTTTGGCGGTCTGTACCATCGAAAGTGTTGGTGAAACCAACGGTCCATTTCTCTCAGGCGACATCCAGTCGTTCCTCCGGCTTGGAAGGATATTGTGTATCAAACGGCTGCACGATAGACTTCTGGCCAGAGTTCTTGCGGCAGAAGGCCGAACATACAGCGCATTCGTTGCTGATTAATACCCCAGGTCGTTCCGCACCACCAGTCGGTTCCTTGGTGTGCGGCGGCGGAGTTCAATCTCAATGCCTACTTCTGTAGCCCAGATCTGGAACTCGGAATCGCGTTGGAAGGGCAGGTTGATGATGGTCCTTTCGTTGTCGATTTTGATCTTGCAGATCGATGCACCCGTATGTCGTTTAACTCGGGCTTCAAGTCCTTAATGATCTGGCTAACTTCCGTTTTTGAAGTCAAGGACCAGGAAAACATCATACCGCTAAACTCGTCGGTGACAAGTAGAACGTAGCGGTGTCCGTTGTATGCCGCAGGAACTCGAAAATGTCGATAAAGACCGAAAGAACGGTTGCCTGATTTGTTCGGGATTCCTGCGGAGATAATCTCGGTTGCCTTGCCGGTGCCACAGGCCGTGCACTGAACGGTGGTTGGGTTGATCCGGACGCCCTTTGTCTGTAAGACAAGTTGTTCAAGTGCTTGTGGCCCAGCGTGGCAGGATCGGTGATGCCAGGTTTCGGACGAATCAATCGGTGGAGGCGGAACCCTTGAAATCGCCATTCTCTGCCGTCTTGGCCTAGTGTTGTCTGTCTGAAAGGAAGAAAATACGCCTTGGAAGGCGTTGAACACGGAGATCAGTGATTGTGGAAGCTTGAAGTAAGAGCGGAAGCTGGCTTATTCGACTACGTCGAGATCGTACTGGTCTGTAAGCCGACAAAGGATATCATTGTCGTCATAGGTTCCCATTCGAAGCGTGTTGTCGACCCACAGTGCCATAGACCCTTCCTTGCAAGCTTCTTCGCGCTGACAATGTTCGTGTGGAATCGTGGCACATGCGCAACGTCGAGAAGAACAAGGCGCGTGTGTTTCTTCCGTTTTCGCCATCCAGAACATTTCCACCCTTCGAGTGCCCGTGCTGACCTTCAAGGAACCTTCTCCGATCATAACGTAGTCGGTTTCCTCAGCTTCGCGGATGTCGGTCAGCAGACTCTTGTCATTGACGATATGGGTAGTTGCTCCACCGTCATAGATCGTCGAATTGTAAAGAGGATGCTTCTCGCGTAGAGCTGAAAAGACCGAGTCGGTGGTTCACTTGTGAGGCCTTTTGCATCGATTGTCAGTCCGGCAAAGTCGCCATGTTTGCGTGGGTTTCCTTTATCTCCTGCTTGATCTGTCTTGGCAGTGGCTGCCGAGGCCTTGACCGTGTCTACAAGACTCTTCCACTTGGCTTGCTTGAGAGCTTCCTTGCAGGTCTTGACGCGGCTGGACTTGACTTGTCGTCCATCCTTGGACTCGCCATTGATTGCAACAGCAGCGCAGTCAGGGACTTCCATCAGTGCTTAGACGGCACTCCGCATGGACAGTGGCTTTGAGCTGCATCAGAGGCGGCAAACACGCTGTCAGACAGCTTGCTGCTCATTCTGGTGCTTCGGACCTGCTCGTGGAACAGTTCGCCCAATGCGCGTAGTGTGACATCAATCTTGAGGCCGAACTTTTTGCTGTTCATGATGTGGACCTTCTGCTGGCTTGCCCATGTCGCATCAAAGGCAGACGTCGCTGTGAGAAAGTCATTGAGGGCAGACTGTCCTTCAAGCTCGGCGATCTTGTGTCGTTCGCCTTCTAACTTGGCTTTATTCCAAGCCACGAGCCAGTCCTCCGGCTTGACTCTCTTTGTCTGGGTGAGGACCTGACGGTATCTTAAGCGTGCTTCCTCTTTCTGTTCGTCTTCAGAGGGCGCAAGGCTTGATTTCAGGTCGCGGACAATAACGCGAAGGTCAGACTTGGAAGTCGTGTTGCCAAGATAGGTTTTATCGACAGTTGATCGGACCCAAACAGCGAGTTCAGCATAGGCGCGCTGCCGGTTGGCGAAGGTCGCTAGCTTGACTTTGTATTCGGATTGAAGACGTGTGAGTCGGGTCCACTGACCATCGTTGAGGTCAGTGGCCGGGTCTGGTCTTGGTCCGGCAGATGCAGCGTTCTGCTGGTATGCGCGTGCCCAAGCGTTAAAGGCAGACTTGTTGAGTGACTCAAGCATTTCCTCGGAAGTCATAGGCTCCTTGGTTCCTCCAGGATCGGAGCATCCTTGTCGATATCGACAAAGCCAAAGACCTTGGAAGTCTCAGCCCTTGAGACGAAATCGTCGTACCAGGAAGCCCATTCGGACGGTCTGGAGAGCGTAACCTCAGACTTGGCTGTCATCTTCGGAAAGCCTTTGGTGTTGGGAAATGGGCAGCAAGGAGGATAGAACGATTGGCGTAAGCAAGCAGACAAAGCGGCAGGGTTTGTATCCCTGAGTGATGTGTGCGTGTGGCGATAGGCACCGTGCGAGCGATCTTGCACGATGGTCGGAATCAGCTGCGATGAGCGCCTAAGTGCTGGGCTCATAACTGTCAGACATTTGGCTCCACACGGGTCAGAGATGGCATCAGGCAATTAATGAGAATTATCTAAAGAACAAGAAGTGAACGAACGAACGCACGGAGTTGTGCAGCTCTTTATACGCAAATGAAAGGTCCGTCGCGTGATTACGCAGTAGTGGTTGCCTATCAGGCAACAGCGGCGTTGCGAGTAACATCGCCACTTCATGAATAATCATCCTAGGCAGGCTTGATATGTGTCAGAACCTTGATGAGGTTCTCGTCGGATAGGTCACGGACACAGCAAGAATGGTACGATCGGATGAAGTGAGGTATCATGTGTGTGTCTGTCTGTGTCCCCCATTTGGGGGTGCTCTGCCCAAGCCCTATATCAAAGGGCGATGGCCTCAATCCCTATGACATGCCATCACGTCATATCTCTGTAACTGTCTCATAGATGTCCTCGTGGCCTCATCGGCTGCGCTACCTGGTGCGCTATCGTCTGCGCTACCGTTGGCGCTGCCACTAGTAGCCTGACGCTATCGTAGCTGCATCTACCCGGATTCTACCGGATCTAACACTACCCTGCCAAATGGTTTGGGCCGCCACGACATGACGGGACAAGACGAGACAAGGCAAGACAAAATGTGGCGCGACGACAGACAGCGACCCACCTGCGCGCCATCGAGGTCGGCATGACGTCTGCGATGTCGTGTTGCAGCACGTCGACCCAAACACCAAACCTTGTTCCCCTCTCCTCCGAGCTCATGCAGACCAGGGCAACCATACGTACATACATACTTTGTATATACATAAGACATGCCTCGGGGCCGGCACGTTAAACCTTGCCATGGACAGCACGTGGCGATCGCGGCCTTGACCACCATCTCGCCGTGACGCCTAAGCCATGTTGTCTTGATACCTCAGGGTCTGACCTCGACTAGCCCCGGGCAATTATCATGCCCGCAGCCAGGGAGGGCTATAATCTGCATTGTCACCAGACGGAAATATTCGGACGTCGGCCGGCTATGTGTCTATTTTCTTCACATCTACGAATACGCAGGTCCCGCCGACAGCAAATCGACAAATTGATAGGGATACACATGTCCGCCACCAAGAGGCATCGTATCTTTCTAGAGCCGGTGGCAATAGTTTTCACCCTTCTGTGGGGATATGTTTACAACAAGCCACAGTTCGAAAACACTTGGCCGCGATTCCGAGGCGTTTGTCTTCGAATTCGCCCTGCTAGCGAAACTTTTGCACGCAGGGCCATCCGTCTAATACAATTTCACATTGCAACATGTTGGCTTCACCGACAGTACGAATTCGATACATGTCAATGCAACGTAGACGTAAAGCAGCTACTGACACCGGACACCACGGAAGGTCTGTTGCTTCGTCCTACTGCTTACTCTACTGCAGTATCCGGTGTGCTCGCCAGAGGCACGTACACGAGGGCGTTAACTCAACGAGTGCATTGCATCCACGAGAGTATAAACCCGCTAGGGTCTCCCGGGCCGAGCGTGCGGCGTCACGTTCTTGTGGGTGCCCGCGAATCATGATGACTTTTGGCTAGACACGTTATTAATTAGCCAAGACCGCAGCATAGAGCACGACATAGGAAGAATGTGTGGCTGGCAGATTCACCGCCGTACCGAGCAAGGTCCACTACGCTGACCACTTGGAGAAGTCGGCCGGCCTTCAAGCAGGCCTTTCACAACAGACATATCTGGACAGTCTGGCAACGAAAGAGCAACATCTGTGGGGCTTGAGGAGACAGGCAGCAATGTACTGAACCATGAATAGTAGCTTAGCGTAGTGGCCTTCTAGGGGACTCCCTCTGGGCGTAATAAATAGCTTTAGCATTAGCATCAGCCACCCTGCGGTCCCTGCCATGCCTAGATAGATAGATGCTCGGCACCGACCGGGTGCTCAATATCCCATCCCTTCCTAGACGCCATGAAATCCACCAGATCAAAGAAACTCTTCTTGTAGAACCTCTGCTGCGTGGTTAGGTTCACCGCCTGCATTCCGAACTGCGGGCGGAAATCGCCCAACTCCCAGTTGTCGACAAAGGACCAGGCGAAAGCACCGAGGATATTGACGCCGTCCTCGTGGATCGACTTGAGCATCTCGGACAGGTAAGACAGGTAGAACTGACTTCGGGGCGAGTCGAAGCGCTGGTCGGGCATTTGGCGCTGGGACTCGGCGAAGATTGCGTACCCAACCTCGCCGACGACGATGGGCTTGCGGAAGGTGTTCCAGGCGTAGAAGAGGAAGGAGCGGATGTACTCGGGCGTGGCGTAGACGTACGTCTGGGCGCGGTAGCCGACGTTCCAGCCGTGGACGTCGACCTGGGACTCGACCACGCAGCTGGGGAACAGGGGATGGCTCGGCCCCTGGCGGACGCAGGCGTCGATGCCGCCAGGCGGTGGCGAGATGACGGTTGCCGTAGGGGTCCAGGCCGAAGAAGTCGGTCGTGTCGCCGATGTAGGCCAGCTCCTCGTCTGTCAGCTTCTGGCCTTGGGGAGGGTCTGCAGCACGGCATCGGGATACCACTCGCCGAGGGCCAGGGTTGCCGTAGGTGCCCAGCTGGATGGCGTTGAACCGGTTCGCGGCTTCGACGTCGGCCTGGTCGCGAGGATTCCTGGGCAGGCCAAAGTTGGCGTTCCATTTGAATCCCATCTGGCCCGTGGCCTTGAGGTCGTCGTGGTAGAAGTGGTAGAGCTGCGCGTGAGCGTGAACCACGTTGTCGAAGCCCGTAAAGTTGAAGGTGTTGATCATCAGCTCGTTGACCGTCACCCACATGGGCACACGGTCCGCAAAGTGTGCCAGGAGAATCTTGCCGTAGTTTACAAAGGATTCGACAAAATGTTCGTTCCAGAAGCCCATGTTGTCGAAGTGAAGATCTGGCACCTCGATTCCCGATCCGTTGGCCGTCTTGATCAAGGCGCACGGGGTGTCAAAATGGAGCATGGTAGCCACGGGCACCATGCCCTTCTCCAGGACGTAGTTGATCAAGTCGTCGTAGTGCTGCAGGCCCTGCTTGTTGATGGGTGATCCGGCGCGGCCAAAGGGCAGGATCCTCGACCACGAGATGGAGAAGCTGTAGTACTTTACGCCCATGGCAGCGATGCGCTCAATGTCCTGTTTGTACAGGAAGTAGTTCTCGAGCGTCGTATGGGCCTGGGCTTGGTCTGGGGTCATGACCACTTCCAGCTGGCTTGGCCCGCGACCTCGAGCGCAACTGCGCCTCGATCTGGGCCGCAGATCCGGCAACGCCCAGGAAGAAGCCGTCGGGGAACTCGTACGAATCCTGGGCCAAGAAGTACTCCTGCGCGGAGCCACGAGCTCTTCGGTGGGAACGGGGCTCGCTGACAGTGGTCGAGTACAGTCCGGTGGTTGTGTAGTTGGGCATGTTGGCGCTGAGCCACATGGATGACCAAGCGGCTTGGCCATAGATGTCGTCAGTGTCTGTAGCCGAGATGGCGGTTTGACCGGGGAGCCAGCTGCCGTACGTTGTCGTCGATAGGCTGGTGTTTAGGAGTTTGACGGCGTCCGAATACCGGGGACCATAGATGGTCGTGGGCGTGGATGTCGGCGCAGGCAATGACGCCGCATATCTGAATGCAAATTAGTATTTCCAGCCTTTTTTTTGACCACAGATGAGAGAGCAAATAAATGCATGCGCATCTCACCTTACGGTACTGGTGAGTGTGTAGGAAAACGGTTGGAAATAGTACGAAGGCTTGTTGGCATTCGGTTTTGCCGCACCGCTCGTTGGTTGAGCTGCATCAGAAGTGCCTACGATGTAGACTTCTTGACCCTGGACAAGAAGAGCCGCAGCACCGGTGATGATAACAGCGGTCAAGCGCATGATGATGAGCTGAAGGGACTCGAAGAAACGTTGGGAGTGCGATAATATCGAGCAACCGACCGTCGCCGCAGACCACCTGGGCAACCCGACAGCTTTGTACATGGACAATGCTCTAAGCAGGTAGTAGTAGCTTCACGTTCCACGAATGAGTTGTCCCTTTGTATATTGATATGGGCCAGACTCCGCCATTCCGGCCCGTGCCCTCAAAGCCCGCAGCGGTTCCTCGGTCGTCATCCTTCGTTTCAAGCGTTCAAGCGTCATCACATGAAGAGAGAGCGCAAGCAACAAGCTACACCAGCCCATATGGTTCCTACTGCAGTGTGATCCAACGGCGTGCTATTTCCTAGTACTGTTTCTCGGAACCTCCGGTCCGACGGACGGACCTGTGTCGGACTGCGTCGATGAAAACCAAACCCAGTCGTCATGCAATAAATAGTACAAGACGGCATCGCTTGGGCCGGACAGCACCGAGAGTGATCGAGATTAGAGGTCGTTTATTATGGCTCGTCCGGGAATATCTCGAGATTGAAAAGGTACGAGTAGAGCTCAGAATTTGTGGGCTCAAAAGAAAACATGCCCCGCAGTGCCATTGACGAGGATTGATAACCTTGTTAATAAGGTTACTTCGTACTAGCGGGCGATTTTATGGTGTTGTGGGTATTGTTAACCCACCCAACTCCTCACCACACGCCAGACTAACCTCATCAAGCTCGTCCCATACCGACCTTGCCCGTACAAGTACTAATTACTCGTAATTCGTATGATCCTTCTTCTGCCGCGGATCGGTAGGCTCCTCGGCCGCGGGCACATTGGATATTACCACACGGAACGGCACAAGGCTCCACCATCAACCCTCCGAGATACTACTTCGTGCGGAAAGGACGAAGCAGGTACTACATCGCATATTATGGACCGGCACCGGGGCCGAGGATCGGATATTGTGGGCTAAAAAGGAAACATCCCCGAGGTGCCATTGACGAGGATCGATAACCTTGTTACGGACGGAGTAGTAGAGTAGCCGTTGGGCTTAAGGTGTTGTGGGTTTGTTAACCTACAAACACGGCGGAACAACGTCGTGCCTTACCAAGCTTGCAAGCTTACACTAATGAGTATGTACGTGTATACATCTTAGTGCGACGGCTATTGTTTTCGTTTGCTCTTTCGTCTGCCGCGGATCCGCAAGCTCCTCGGCCTCTGGCGCATGGCACGAAACGGCGCAAGGCTCCACCAAACAATTCCCAGGATACTACTTCGTGCGGAATGGACAAAGCAAGCAAATCGAGTATTATAGACCGGCACCGGGCGGAGACGACTGACCGGATGAGCCGAGTCCGTGAGCCAGAGTCGGCAACGGACGAGACTTTCAGGTATTTTCCGATCTAAAGCAAAGTTCCGGAAATGTATCCAGTCATAGTTATCGATAGGCTTGCCAGGAGGATTCCGATATTCGGCCAGTCCACTTGCATACTTTAGACGACCAAGTTGCAAAAAAGGGGTCATACATCGAATGGCGGGAATGCGAATTCGGTTCCGTTGAATGATGCACAAGCAGTACAGTTTGCCGCAAGTCACGGTATGCGCCGCCTTCCGGAGGTCCAGAGGCGTGGTGAGTTTGGTATTGGGCTTTGCATAGTGCATGACAAGGTCAAGTTTATAAAAACATATGCAAGTCCTTGATGCCAAGCAAGTATGCTGGACCTCATTCGTTCGAGCAACATTTGAGCCAAGATGCGTCGCCATTCTGGATTTCTGGCGCAATGCGTCGTGGCGGTTTGCTCGATCGCTTCGAGAGGACTTGCCACAATTCTTTCCACTCGTGCTCCAGAGGTTACGGTGAAAAATGGAACGTATTCTGGAATGTACAGCCTGGGTATCACCAGGACTTCTTCCTGGGAATGCCCTACGCACAGGTACGAACAAACAAAGTCACAGTTCCGGCTTGCGGAACCCCAACACTCAACTGACATGTCCTATGCCTACACAAGGTTCCTGACCGATTTGCGGTTGCAACTGGTCTTCGCACGTCGTGGGATGGCGTCCACAATGCCACGAAATACCCAGCCACTGCGTTGGCTACGGATGGGATGAGCCAGGATATGAGGTTTCCGAGGACTGTCTGTACCTCAATGTCGTCCGCGCAGCGGGAGTCCGACACATCCTCTCTGCCAGTGGCTGTTTGGCTACACGGGGCGGCCTTTTATGGGCGGATCGGCAGACAAGAGATACAACTTGTCCTTCATTGTCGAGCACAGTGTCAAGATTGGACGTCCCATTATCGGCATCAGCTTGAACTATCGTCTTTCGGCCTTTGGATTCCTATCTGGTAGAGAAGCAATGGAGTCGGGAGTTACGAATATCGGCTTCAAAGACCAGCGTTTGGCTCTACAATGGGTCCATGAAAACATCGAGGCCTTTGGCGGCTCGCCGGACAAGGTGACCATATTTGGTGAAAGTGCGGGTGCAGAAAGCGTCTCGGCACAAGTACTTGCCTACAACGGTAAGGAGATTTGCAAAACTCGGGGATACTCTTGATGAGCAACTGGCTGACCTGTTGCAGGACGAGACGACAAGCTATTCCGCGGAGCTGTCGGCCAATCCGGGTTTGGTGCCGTCATCAAGAGGAGACCGTACAACGGAGGCTTGAACGACACAGAGCTGCAGCAAGCCACCTACGACCAACTCGTCCGAAACACATCCTGCGCGAGCCATGTTGGCACTCCCGAGTCGTTGGATTGTCTTCGAAAGGCCCCCTTCGAGGAGGTCAACCGAGCTCTGAACGTCTCGCAAGTCGGACCATGGGTCCCCGTTCTGGACCATGACTTCCTGCACGACTATCCCACAAACCAGCTACGCAAGGGCAACTTCGTCAAGGTTCCACTGCTGGTCGGTGTCACCACTGATGAGGGTGGTGGTTTCGTGACCGATTCGACAAACTCGGATGAAGACGTGCGAGAAGCCCTCAGGGCGCAGCTCATATCGAACAACACGGCAGAGAACGTCGACCAGCTGCTGAAAGAGCTGATGTACTTGTACCCGAACGTGCAGTCTATCGGCATTCCTTCGCTCAAGACGTGGTCTCATATTATCCAGCCAGGTGATGCGGGCAGCCCGAATCTGGGGTCGCAATATAGGCGCATGGCAGCTATTGTCGGGGACATGACATTTCATTTCTCTAGAAGGCGGGCCAATTTCGCCTGGTTCGAGCATGGAGTGCCGAGCTATGCTTACCGCTTCAACGTGCTTGTCAACGGGGCACCGGCACCATTCGGCTCCGCTCATTTTCAGGAGGCAAGTTATCAAAACCCACAGAGCTACCCCTTTTTGGTACGGCATCTTAACGCTAAACTGCTATTTAGGTTGCATTTGTCTTTCATAACTGGAACGGCGAGGGGTAAGTCCCTGCACATAGAAATGGGCACCCCCCTGTTTTGGGCACCCCAAAAAAATCACGACCATTTTCAACACCATTAATTCAATCCCTTCTCACTGCCCACCACCGTGCACTACGATACAATCGTCACCTATTTCTGAAACCTCAGCTTCGTTTCATCAGATTCTTCATTCTCAGCTGCGTTCACCTCCTCCTGCGCCCGTCGTATTGCCTCAATATTGGCGAACCTCGAATTCGGGCTCGTGACCACCCTCTTCCTTTTTTTCGGCTTGACGGCCGCCAATTGTGTTTCCAGTGCCTGAATCTGCAATTGAGCTTTGCTAAAAGGCCATCCTTCTCGTCAAACCCTTTGTGATCTTCCTGAACAGCAATCTCTTCGTGGGCACGTCGTCGTCTAGCTGGTTGAATTGAACTACCTGAACCTTCAGATCTTGCGAGCGCCTCGGGGTCGACCACGCAATCTGGGATGTGTCTGATTGCCAGTCACTGGTGGGTAAGTGGCTATTGAATGCATTGGCCACATTTTTCGCGTTCTTTTGCGTCTGTTGCTGTTCTCCAGCAGAAGAGGGCTCAAAGTGGCTTCGCCATCGACACCGGCCACAAACCCGTCGCTTTCCAGCCACCCTTGATGTTTGACACAGTGAGCGCTTGCTCGCGTGCTTTCTGGTAGCAGGAAAGAAAGTTTTGCTTGCCGACTGGGCTTGAATCGGTCAGGAGGCTGAGAAATCCGACCTGTTTGCGGTAGTAGTGCTTAAGAGCGGAGAAGACAGACAAATCGAGCGGTTGCAACACATGAGAGGTATGGGGAGGTAAGAAAAGAAGGTGAATCTGATGCTGGTAGCATAGATACATGAAGTCAACCGTCTCGTGACTTCCGTGGCCGTCCAATACTAGCAGTCTTCGCTCCGAAGGGTCGGGTGGCTGGGTTCTTGGAATGAACACCTTTTCGAGCCACTCCACCGCAGTTTGGTCCGAAGTCCAGCCGTTCTTTGTCGCAGTGAATTGCCAGTCACTAAAAGTACTGAGATCTTCTGGGAACCACTGTTGCTGGACCGATTTGCCCTTGAAAATGACGAGTGGAGGGAGGAAGGTGCCGGCAGCGGACACGCACTCGATGAACGACGTCCAGACCCGAGAACCAGGCGTCTTCTTTTGTACAGATCGTTTTTCAGCACTGCCAACGACCAGGCCATTCTCCCCAAGTCCTTCCATGATGCCTGCTTCATCCATGTTGTACCTGTTCTCCGGCTTAATAGCCAGAATCTCGGAAGGAAGAAATTGTTGAACCAAGGCCGAATTACCTCGGTAGAAGCGCCGTTGACACGCGCAGAGTCTCTGTGATGGCACTTCTGGGTCCGAACTGCAGGATTTCGTCTTAAAAATGCTTGCATCCAGTGTTTTCCGAGCGGTGTGTGGTCTCCTTTGACGGCGAGCATGCGCTGCGCGAACTGCCTGATCTGCGAGTGAGTGGGAGGAAGGCCCAAGGCGTCCTGAATGAGAATCCATTCGGTAAGTTGCTTTTCCTGTGTCTGAGAAAGCCTCTGAAGAGCAGAAAATGCATCCTTTCTGCATTCGTGACCATGCATGCGATTGTAAAGAGTTGCCCTCAGGACGCCCCAATCGCGAGCAGCCTTCTTGGCGGATCCGCCATTGGCGATTGCCTCAAGGGCGCTGTGAATGTCAGACTCTGTATATTTCATCAGTAGTGGCTTGAAGACACATGCGTCAATTTTTTAGCAGATTGGATGCGTTTCCGCGGTGAAATTTGCTGTTGAAGTTGACGCAGCCGTTTAGGTTGGGCACCCATCTTGGGTGCCCAAAACAGGGGGGTGCCCATTTCTATGTGCAGGGACTTACAGCCCAGCGAATCCTTTTGGCGGAAATGACGCAGCGTACACGGCCAAGGCAACAGCACTGTCAACGAATATGTCTACCGCGTGGATCAACTTTATCAACGAACTAGATCCGAACGGCAAGGAAGACATTGGGCTGCCAAAGAACGAGACATGGCCAAAGTACGACCGAACGGCTGGTGGAGGCGTGGGGAGGAACATTGTGTGGGATTTGGACGGCGCATTCGTTGAGATGGATGACTGGCGGGCCGAAGGGATCAACTGGATGATTGAGAACGCCATGACCGTCTTTGGGACGTAATTTATTAAGGCCCAGAAACGATTCATTGCAGTGATCTTGTTGGAACAAAGTGAGGCCTCTAAGTCTCTCTAGGTAATACAGCTCGAAACCAGGTAAGCCTGTAAGGAGGGAGGTTTGTGGTCCACTGAGGGGTCTGGAGGATCTCCTATTCGAACGGGATCCTCCAAGGAGTCCGGTATATCTTTTACTGGCTCGGGGACCTCAAGAGATTGAACTATCGGCCTAATAGCTTGGAAAGCTATTGATCGGGGAGATCGAGCTGAATGTGCTGACGTAGATGGCTTACGCGGCCTTCAGTGAGAGGCAAGGAGTGCCCTCTTCCTGATAGAATGTATAGTACACCTGAACACGGGATATGAACATAGGGAAGGCACAGAGGGATATAAAAGGGGAGGGCTAGACGGATACAGGGCAACCGAAGAAACCAATCAATATATGCACATCACAGACTATCAGATCATATGATACTCGACCTTCGAAAAGTCCCTTTCTCCACTTTTATGTCCACTTTTGCTCTCTCCTTCATGAGACAATATAGCTTATACTCGTGCCCGCAGTGAAATGAGCCAAAGCGAATCCTTAAACTGGGGCGGCACGAGTACCTTAAAGCATTACTCCGTAAAGTTTCTCGAGAGAGTAAGTACTAAGTATCTTTGCTTGCAAATTCCCGGACAATGTACCTCGCGATGCTGTCTCAGCTTTTGAGGCCAACTGCGCTTAGTTGCCCCCGAAGGGTGGAGCCAATGGGTAATAATGAAATAATTTACTCGCGTAACTCTCGTCCGATGTGCGGAGAGGAGGCAGTCTGCCGATTCAGCTATCATTGCAGGGGGTTAGCTAGTACTAAGGCGGGCATCGGCGGCAGCCGCGGCGGCCACGGCGATGGGAATGCCCGCGCCCAAATTTGGTGGCGGGGCCCTCTTCCTAATGGGGCGGAAGTCACCGTCGACGTTATGAAATCGTGTCAGATAACCGTTACGCCACCAACAAAAGTGCAGGCCCACACCTAGTGTGGAATAATAGTACCTTATATTTATGACAAATTGGCCGTAGATGTTCCATTTCTCAATTTAGTTGGTTGATGAGTGGATGGACGGCACCGATGGCGGGAAAGAAGTGCCTTGCCTAGACCATGCACTGTGCCTTGCATAGCAATTTCTCAGGTTGTCGAACAACTTGCGTCCTATGGCATTTTTACCAACTTTTGAGCGGTCAAACCAACGGGTAGATAAAAGGGCTGCTTTTCGCTTCCAATGATCTTAGCGGCAAGTATCCAACATTCTTGAAGATGTTCTTCTCAAGACTTAATCGTATCAATACGATCGCTAACCTGATGCTTATTGACTTGGCTTGTGCTTCTGGCTCATCTATGATGGCGTCTTTGACGGTGGTCTCTTCTTCAGTGGCTTCTATATCTGCTTCGTTACATGTTGTGCCCTCTTTGAAGTCAACTTCTGTTGGATCCACCTGTGCACTAGGCACCGATCGCGCACGTATAACTAATCGACCGCGCTAGTCACGTGCGAGTAAGAGGTGAGACACAGGGAGGAAGGTCTTTGCACACAGTTTGTATGGGACACGTTTCCCTAGTTACACAAGATATAACCAATTGAACCAGTTCGAATAACCTCACTGCAGTGAAGAGCCTGTCCACACTGATCAGTGTCGCCCGGCAAAGGTGACACAGAACAGCAAGACGGAAGAGAGCTAACCTATCGTCACGCTCTGCAAAGCGAGCTCCTGACGGTAGGATAGTTGCTACAACGCGCGGATTGCTACGAAGACTCTGCATCAGAGCCCACTCTAGTTATCCAACCGTGCCTAAGCTTTGCTGTCATCAGCGACCCTTAGGCGTGCCCTATCGCACATTGATAACCTCATTGACACCCTGTGCCCTGTTTCTCAGCACACAGCCTGTCAATATGTCTGACAATTCATCTGCCGCACTAGCCCCGGCAACAGCCCAGGATACCCCGGCCAACGTGTCTCTCGAAGACAGGCAACTCGTTGAACGGAACCTGACGATCGTGGAGCTCCTTCACTCCCGATCAGGCATTTCGACGCGGATTTCCTCAACGAACCTATCACCCAGAGCTCCTCCCTTGTCCACCGCAACAGCTTCTTCTTAGGCTGTGTGGCAACATACACGGTGGATAAACGTAACCACGGAATTGCCCTGCTTGGGGATCTGTATAACGACTTCACGGGATGGAGCTATGATGACTTCGAACTAATCAACCCACGCCTTAGATCAAGACTCCGGACGCTTCTCAGAATTAGGGATCTATATGGGCAAGGCCAACTCTAGCATCTCTCGAGCTTTATGTGGCCTTCTAACAAGTAACGAACTTCCTGAATGGGATGAGAACGAGTTGCTTGGTCAAGAGGTTGCTGAAAACACCGTGGCATATAAGGTGAAACAGAAGCTGCTCCAAGGAACTGTTAAAGCGGCTATATCGTCACCGGCACCGGTAGTAATCCAGCAGCCAACTATTACCCGACCGGCGGAACCGGAATCCTCAGATCATTGAGACCCATCAACCCGCTCAGCAAGAGCCTCAGCATCAATGGCGCGAATCCCTCGGTATCAGCAGACGCTCCCCGTACGGACTACCAACTTCCGAGATGCATACACGAGCATTCCACCTGTTCGATTCGAGAACGAGGAAGTTGAGGCCGATCTCACGATTAGATTCATTAAGATATGGGACAAGAAACTAGCCTATACCGGCGAACCATACGATATCTTCGATGACAAGATCCGAAATTCATGAGCGTGTGCCGTCAAGCAAACATTCCTCCGTCTAAATTCCATGGTGTTTTCCTTCGATTCTGGCCAAGGAAGCTCAGTCCTTCTTTCTACACGAAATCAGCACTGATTTAACCTTCGCTGAGATGTATCAGAAGATGAAAGAGCACTTTGACACCGAAATCAACCAGAAGATGTATCATACCCACTGGAGCACCTCACCTTCAGCCGACTTCGGGCTGAGATGCCCGGTAAGTCATCTGACGAGGTCCTCCAGGCCCTTCTTACGAAATTGCGGCTCTGTAGGAGAGCACTCGGGGATAAGTCTGGCGGCGAAGGTGGCCTGATCGATGCAACGCTCAGGGCGTGCCGTGGTGTGCCTGAATTCCGACTCGCGATATACTCTCCCGCACCTACATTTGAGGGATTGGCATCACAGCTTCGATCATCGCTATCTGCCATGCAAGATGAACGATCTGAACAACCCAGTGGCCAATATCCCCAAGACCTGGATAGAGGACATGATCAGCACTTCGTGGATCGCAAATTTCAGCGAAATTCCGGCGGAACAAGAGGTCAATCACAAAGGCGTCAGCCAAATTGGAAGAAGAAATGCTACGTTTGCGGCAAGGAAGGTTGTTTCTCAACGAGACATCCTGAAAACGAGAGAAAAGCAGCCAAAGAGAAGTATCTACGAGAGAGGCTTCCACGGTCAATCTCGTTCGTATGCTATGTTCTTGGCTGACTATGAAGGAATCACAGGATCAGGATGACTCGAGCACCGAGGAATCCGATGATTCTGACTCCTCTGACCCTTATGAATCGTTCTACGCTGCTGCGACCTTCTGTCCAACGAAGCTTTCCATCATCGGATCTCTCCAGTAGGCATCAAGTTATTCAACGGTGACGAACCCACACAATTCATACTAGATCGTTACTCTCAAGACTCGTTCAAGGAATCATGCCGGACACAGGTGCGGCATGCATATCGACGGGAGGAATCGAACAACTGCGTGCTCTCCAACGAGAGATGCCCCAGTCCAATTCCGTGATGATCGCAAGCCCGAACCAGTTAGATTTGGTGCAGGAAGATTGAAACACCACTTGGCGTGATCACCTTGAACACACCAGTGGGAGAGGTTGATTTTCATATAGTCAACGTGCCAACGCCATTCCTCCTATGCCTAGCTGATATGGATCGGCTCGGCGTATATTTAAATAACGTCACGAACGAGCTCGTTGGCAATGGTGTGAGCGTTCCAGTGATTCGAAGATGGGGTCACGCGTGGTTCTTCTTGCGGAAACAAGAGGCATCAGTGGCATATCTCACGGAGGCTGAATTGCGGCGCCTCCACACGCGTTTTGGTCATCCATCCGTGTATCGGCTGCACAAGCTGCTGAATTCGGCTGGCCATGATGTGGAAATCGAAGCTCTGGAAATGATCAAGAAGTTCTGCCACTACTGTCAGATGAAATCCGACCCGCCACGAAGGTTCAAGTTCAGCTTGAAGGATGATTGTGACTTCAATTACGAAGTCATCGTTGATGTCATGACATTGGGTGGCAGACCAGTCCTCCATGTTGTTGATCAAGCCACTGCCTATCAGGCAGGAGATTCCTATCCAACATGACGGCCAAGGAAACGTGGCTCGCGTTGAAACAATGTTGGATGGATACATACCTTGGACCACCCGATGTGATCACTCATGACGCAGGCACGAATTTCGCTGCTGCCGAGTTCCAAGCAGAAGCGAAATTGATGGGAATAACGTGTCATCAGGTGCCTGTGGAAGCACATTGGGCTGTTGGGAAGGTTGAGAAGTATCATGTGCCCGTCCGAAGAGCATATGATATATTAAAGGCAGAGCTGAAGGATACCGTGAGCCCTGATCAAGTCCTTCAAATGGCTTTCAAGGCTGTCAACGACACAGCCGGTCCGGATGGCCTCGTTCCAACCCTCCTCGTCTTCGGTGCTCTGCCTCGAATGACGATGGATTCGCCGCCTACACCTTCCGCAATGGCAAGAGCTAAGGCGGTGTGGCGAACGATGTCAGAGCTGAGGAAGATCAACGCCCAGAGGAAGGTTCAGACCGCGTTAAATACGCGTAATGGGCCTGATACAGCGTTGCGCCTGCCCCATCCCTGGCGCTAGGAAGCGAAGTTCGCGTATTTCGCGAGAAGCACGGATGGCAAGGCCCATATAAAGTGCTCGAGGTGACGGATACGGAAATCGCAGTTGACCTGGACAACGGACCAGCGAAATTTCGCAGTACATGCGTCCAACCGTACTATCGTCACCCGGAATCGCTCCTTCCTCAGTTGCAACCCGACCCTAGCCCTAGCCGCACAGACCCATCAACACAACAATCACTCCTTCCCTCAACACAATCCGATCAACAACATCCTCTTCAAAACCCTCTTCCCCTTCCACCCACAACTCAACAACCTCTTCCTCTTCCTACCACAGAAGACCAACCCAAACCTTTCGAATACCCTGAGCCAAAGAGGCCGCGCAGGCGTGGCCGACCTAGGAAGGATGCTGCACAAAATGGCACATCAGAATCCACTATTGTTTGCTCACCCGTTCAATTTATCGTTCATCATGAAGCTAATGCGTTTCTTGTTCGAAAAGAAATGGAACATCTCGGCCTAGCCAAGCGGCTACGAGCTGAAGGAAAGATCACAAGCACCGGTTTCCCATTTGAAGCTTCCGACACACTCGAGCTCACGAACCTCCTCGCCGCTGGGGTCATTGTACCCGAAGAATTCGATGCGAATAAACATGGTGGATATCGTGTCTTCAAATCACGAATGGTCAGAGAGGTTAAGGAAGAAATACTGCAACGCCATACGAGAAATCACGCCTCGTTGTGCAAGGATACAATGATGATGGGAAACGTGGGATCCTCACACAAGCCCCTACCATCAGCCGGCCCGCACAACGCGTGGCCTTGGCCTTAGCACCGTTTCTCTGCACACGGGATATGTTCATCATGATCAGAGACATCACGATGGCATACACACAATCCCAGACCAAGCTGGCCCGTGTCATCCTTGCAGCCCTTCCTCAAGAACTCAAAAGAAGATATCCAGAGGGAACAATCCTGCGAATCGTGAAGCCGCTATATGGCATCGCAGAGGCAGGAGCCCACTGGTTCAACACATATCACGACCATCACTGCCGCAAGCTTAATATGGAAACCTCTTCGTTTGACCCGTGCCTTCTGATCACGGCAAACAACATCGCCGACAAGGACCTGTTTGGCATCGCGGCCTTGCAAACGGATGACACATTCATTGTTGGCACAGATGCATTTCTCAAGATCGAGGAGAAAGAACTCTGCTTTAAGGCCAAGCCAAAAGAGATTCTCCAAGAAGGTTCCATCTGCGACTTTAACGGCAGCCGCCTGACCATACAAAATGGCTGTGTCATCGTCAGGCAGAAGGGCCAAGCCCAAAACCTCGAGGAGATCAATCTTCAGGCATCAAGTAGGCATCAGGATTATGCTGCTCAACGCGCCCGGGGGGCATATATCGCTTCGATTTGCCAACCCGAAGCAACATACGATTGTTCCGTTGCGGCACAAGCCCAAGAGCCCGTTAATACCGACTTCAAGGCTTTGAACAAGCGGATTGAATGGCAGATCAACAATCCCGACCGTGGCCTATGTTACATACCCATCGATCTCGAGAGCGCGAAGATCTTTGTGTTCACCGATGGATCATTCGCCAACAATAAGGATTTAAGCTCTCAAATCGGCTTTGTGATTATCATCGCCAATGAGACCGCGCAATCAACCGATTCATTTTCCATCCGCGGAAACATTCTTCATTGAGCTCAACTAAATGCAAGCGCGTTACTCGAAGCGTTCTTGCATCAGAGATCTATGGATTGACATCGGGCTTCGATCTCGCATTTGTGATCAAGCAAACGGTCAATACGATCGCACAACGCCTTGATCTGAAGCAAATCCCGCTCGTCATTTGCACAGATTCCTATAGTTTCTATGAGTGCCTCGTCAAACTTGGCACCACAACAGAGAAGCGACTCATGATAGATATCATGGCGCTGAGGCAGGCATATGAATCAAGGGATATTGCGGAAATCCGTTGGGTCAACGGCGCAGATAACCCTGCCGATGCTATGACGAAGGCATCACCAAACAGCGCCCTCACGCAGTTTATTAGCGACAATCAGCTAAACGTGAGGGTGGAAGGATTCGTTCATCGCAATAACACAACAATTCTCGACGAGATTTAATCGGTTTTTCGTTCCCTTCTTCTGCTTTACCGTCGTTCTTTATTCCATTCACATTAACGAGGAGATCCTCGTGTCCATATTCCAACGTGGGACCGATGGAATCAGCTAGCGCATCCGGCGCTCGAAATGCGGCCCATGATGGCGTGTGGCAGAACACACCCAGTGTGGGGAGGAGAGCTACAGTCAGAGCACACTATCCAACATAGTGATGCATCGTGGTAGGAGTTTGTTGGTGTTCTTGTTCGTGTTTTTCCTATCTCATCTTAATTCGCTGTGTTTGGTGTGTTTTGGTGGATTGATTAGTGCGCGATCATCGATTTAGAAAGAGGTTCCAGTGTTGGATCCACCTGTGCACTAGGCACCGATCGCGCACGTATAACTAATCGACCGCGCTAGTCACGTGCGAGTAAGAGGTGAGACACAGGAGGAAGGTCTTTGCACACAGTTTGTATGGGACACGTTTCCTAGTTACACAAGATATAACCAATTGAACCAGTTCGAATAACCTCACTGCAGTGAAGAGCCTGTCCACAACTTCGTCAATATTTTCCGGTGTCCCTCCAGCCAATACTATTCTCCCCGCCGAAAGTTCGACCGGGACCCAGGCTTCCAACGTTACCGACAGCGTCTACATTGAATGGAATGAACCGTGGGCGGAGTCGAGATCTACTCTGACGCTACTATTTGTGGTGAATTCCGAACTGCTATCTAATAGCAGTATTCACGATAAAGCCTTCGAGTCGCTGCAGTCCTTGAGCTCGGACTATGTCAGATTTCTTGCTTGGTATCCCTATCCAAAATATCAGTCCCCGCGCTTGAACCCCGAACATTACCGAATCAACCTGCACGACAAGTTGGAACTTTACCTACGCAGACCAGTTACTGGGTGACTTTTTACGGAGCACACCTGGCAAAATCCACAGTGTTGGCTTCAGCACTACACCAGCCTGGATGTGGATCAGTGGGCAGAACAAGTATCCTTCCGACGTCAACGAGATTGATTTTCGCTATAACCAAGGAACTCAACTTCGCGACCCAAGCATGACGGAAATCGCTGATTACTATCGGCGCATTGTCAATTGGTACGTCAACGGTGGATTTACCGACGAATGCGGCACCTACCATTATTCTGGTCATCACTGGCCTATCGAGCTATGGGAAGTTCTAAACGAACCGGAACTGGAGCATCAATTTACGCCAGAACTGTACAACAAATTTTACGATGCCATAACTGCGGCAATTCGTGAAGTTGCGCCCAAGATTCGATTTGTTGGGGTGGGCTGATCAATAAGACCATCGACTGGGTGGAGACCTTCATGGACTCGAGCAAGCACACCCTGAACAGAGCTCGGCTGGCTCAGCTACCACCATTACGGCTGGCCGGACCCCAACGTAACCGATGAGCAGGAGCAAGCAACATCGAGCTTCCAGCAGATGGACGATTTCATCCTTCAGGTCCAGAAAATTAACCAGGTTCGAGCGAGATTGAATCCGGGAATGCGCATTGGGTTCGGCGAGATCGGCACCATTCTCCAAAAAGCAGGCATACATATCACTCCTGGATACGTCATTTCAGATGAGTATTGGGTGTGGAGTGCAAGCGTGTTTGCCTATGTCTTTGCAAAGACGTCGGGGTTGGATATCGACGCCATCGCGCAAAGTCAGCTTGATGGATACCCTGGCCAGTTCGAATCAGTATCCATGGTTGACTACCGGACGGCCGAGCCCAATGCACGATATAGGGTTCTTGAAATGCTGCAGAAGAACTTTCAAGCGGGGGATAAGCTTCTCAACACGACTTCAGCAGACGAAAAGGCTTACCACGCTCAAGCTTATCGAACTGTTGACGGCCAAAGAAAGCTGCTCTTGATCAACAAAACGGCCCAGAACCACACACTTACCATATCCAGTTTCAACCAGGGGCAGGCACAGATTTGCGACGTGAGCTCGGGTTCGAATCCTCATAGAACGGAAATCGTTCAAGGTGACGAGATCACGCTTACACCTTTTTGCAACCGTGATCCTCATTCCCAGTTGCTAAAGGCACGGCCTCTCAAATTTGTAAAGTAGGGATTTTAGCGTCATGAAAGCGAAAAGGCCCGTCCGGCAATGTCGCTTGTGCACCATGTGCAGGGATTTGTTACCACGGGTCAAACAATCAGATCTCTCAACCTTGTTCCGATTCTCGCGAAGGAGAGAGCAAAAGTGGGCATAAACGTGGATAAAGGGACTTTTTGAAGGTCGAGTATCATACGATCAGATATTGTGTTGATCGCTCTCTCCCCGGTTGCCTCCTTTCCCGTCCAAACAGCCCCTTTTATATCCCTCCGAGCTTCTCCCAAGTTGATATCCCGTTTTCAGGTATAGTATACATTCTATCAGGAAGAGGGCACTTCTTGCCACTTACCGAAGGCCACGTAAGTCATCTACGTCAGCAACATCAGCTCCATCTCCCCGATCGAATAGCTCTTCTAGCTATGAGATCGATAGTTCAGTCTCTTGAGGTCCCCGAGCCAGTAATAGCTATGCCGGACTCCTCAAAGGGTCCCCGTTCGAATAGGAGATCCTCCGGATCCCTCAGTGGTCCAGGAAGAAGAAATAACAGTCTGCAGACTTCCCTTCTTACCTGGTTTCAAGCTGTATTACCTAGAGAGACCTAGAGACCTCAACTCGTTCGGACCTTCTTCTCGACACCGATGAACCCTCACCTGTGTTCCTGCAACGATCCGTCGACAAGGATATATCAGATAGCCTCTAATAAGCCGCTTAACGACTGCGCAAATATAATTACTTCCCCTTGGACAGAAATAAAAAATCTCTTTGTAATTTGGACTGGCAGTCGGCCAGTCGTATGGTCTCCCTCGTCACTATCACAGGTACTTATCCGTCTTCAATCGAGAACAAGCGAACCAGCTTCCTCCGCACCGCCCAGGCTGCGACCACAAGATCCAGTTAGAAAAGGGTTCCGATGGCAAGGAGAAAGAGCCGCCGCGGGGACCGTTGTACGGCATGTCACGAGAGGAGCTCACCAAGACCAAGCCGGGTTGACCGCATTCCGAGTTCCGCCGCCGACCGCGGACTCGATCCCGTTTATCGCGCCGCCGGAGAGCGACGGTTTGCGGTGCAACGATTCCACTTGCGGTTTCGTCATCCACACAGTACGCGGCATGCAAAGAGCATTGCAGGAATAAACACGGGTGGACAAACCAGCAGAAAAGGGGTGGAGACGCAGCCAGTCAGCCGTCATGGGATTCGAAAGAGTTGGGAGAGATTATATAGTAAAAAATGGTGTCAACTATATGTGACTCTTATCTTTAGAGTTTGTCTTCGCAAGGCCTCACAAACAGCACAGTGCACGTGCTCGTCATATTGAATGATTCGAATTTTATGTACTAACTATCTGTTTACGCGTGGAAATAGACTTTGGCTTCATGTCAACAAAGTCCATGTGATGCATTTTGCATATGGATGAGATGAAGTGGGATGGTTTTCCCTCCAACTAAGCTAAAATACTTCGAACACCCGTTAAGTTGCCAAGGCAAGGGGCTTAACGGCTGAATATCCAGCCCGAAGGGTGAACATCGTATACCTGCAATTCAACTTTCCTAGGGGGGACCCCCTAGAACCCCCCTTTCGCCTGCAGCGGCCATCCAGCTTTTTAAACCGCTCCTTGACTGGCCCAATCTAACTATATACCCTATATCAACCCTCCCCCTTCCCTGTAGCTTATAGGAAGACGTCGTTTAGTCAAGGTAGAGTGGTGGATACGGTGCATCGCTCAGCTGTTGACCCTGACGCCGTTGTTGGTCAGCGAGGCGCATCTTCATCCCTGCTTTAGCCTTTGTAGTTAGCCGTAAACGCAGCACGTAGGGAGACAGGCTTATAAACCTTCCGTCGGCGTGTGGTTATAGAGGCTCTGACGATCGAAAGGCGCCTCAAGGAGTAAGCCTTGCAGCGACGTAACCCGTGACACAGCAACATAGCTAATACCGGCCTGGAAGTCGCGTGTAGCGAGATCAGTAACTATTTGCTCCTTCGTTAGGCTCTGGCATTTGTGAACAGTGATGGCAAATGCCACCATCAGGGGAAACTGCGTGCGAGCGCAGGTCTCGTTGCCCATAAGGAAATCACGCCTGACTGGGAGGATGGGTGAGATTTTCCTGCCCTCGTTAGTTGTTAGATATGGCGGTCCGTCGTAGCTATCAAAGTCCACCATAATAACGGCCGGGGATCTTCCAATGGTTCGGCGCCTGGGTTCCAGGCGATATCGTATACAGTACCCTGGGCGCCGTTAACTAGGCCAGCTGGCTGCCATAGGTTAGTAGTGAGCATTACCCTGGCGCCCTTAGCAACAGGGAACTTGTTAGATAGATTGCCAGCATTGTGGCTTGGTGCCTGCCCGCGCCCTTGCCCTGATTCTTTGCCTCCACCTGTATTGCCGGGGCGTTGAGATGCACCATATGCTCGTAATTGTATTCGTTGACCCGGGCCCTGGTAGAATACACCCGCAAAGCGGCCCTGAAGCTGTCAACATCGCTCTGCGTTAGCCTGGACTGTACCCGACTGCTAAGGAGGTTCCAGGACGGTATGGATAACTTGACTTCACGCAGTTCCTGCAACGCCCGACGGAACTGAGCCTGATCATCACCAGCCTGGCGCTGTACCGTGGTCAGGAAGACGGTGCGGTCAAATAACCGGTAGGCCACCTGCCCTCTCCTTTCCAACGAAGACAGGCTGGTGCTAGTCGAATACAGGGGCTTCTGCCGGACTGGTGGTAACTGGAAGAAATCGCCCACAAGCAAGACGCTCACACCACCAAAGAACTCGAGGCTACGCTGTGGTAAGGCCTGTCGCAGACGGGAATCGATCCGCGCGAGCTGCTCAATCCCCAGCATGCTCTTTTCATTGATAACGAGGTATTTGACGTGCCGTAGGCGGGACTGAAGGGCGGCTGCGTCGGCTGGGGGAAGGTCGGTAAAAGCACCACCTACTGGGAGGCGTAGCAATGAATGAATGGTGCTGCCCTGTATCTGGTTACTCGCAACGCCTGTTGGAGCTACGCGGCAAATAGGGCTAGGATTCGGTAGAGCGGCCGCCTGAAGATGGGAGGAAAGCACCTTGATAAGGAACGACTTGCCGGTGCCACCACCACCATCAACGTGGAGAAGGATTTGGGTGGGATTTCGCGCCTGGAAGTGGCCCATGAATGTGTCGTACACGAGCCGTTGTTGCGTATTCAGCGTATTACGCCAGTGAGGCCAGGACCTCCACATCGTTGGCCATGGGGTGGCTAGCGATAAGGTCCTTCCAGTAGCCATCTCGAAGTTCCGGATATGTACCCACATGCCGTGTCCAGTCGTAATGGACGTCGATATCGCGGCGGCCAAGAAGGTCAAGATCTTCCTGGGTAAGGGGGTGGTCAGGTAAAAGGGCAGCGAGGCGAATCCAGTCTTCGTCATCAAATTCTTCCTCCACAGGCAGAGCCTCATATTGATCATCTTGAGGCTGTAATCGAGCCTCTTTTGGCTGGCCGTAATGGTCATCACCATGATTGTGATGCTGCCAACAATAGGAGAAGGCCTGAACGTGGGAACTAAAAGCCTGGCCGTCGAAAGTGAGGAGCTCATCAAGCCGGCGATGTGGGTGATTTAATGTCAGCTTTACACGGCAATAATCTGGCCATTGCTGGCCTTCTGGAGCAGCCTGATAGCGAGGAAAGTAAACCAACACACGGGGCCTGCCGTTGACGTTACCTGGCCGCCATTGCTTCCATGCGGAAGGGTCTCTAGAGCGGAAATTCCAGTGTTTGAGGAAGGAAACGTAGGTCAGGTCCTTCAGGGCTTCCGGGCGCTGACTGTACTTTCGTAGACGTTGGGGCCTCGTCAACCTCATCGCCGTCAATGCGTAGGGAGCGGGAATGTCTGTCAGGATGACGGCAGTCAATGTATAGGCATATTCGTGAGCCCTCCTGTAACGGCAGGCCGAGGAGTAAGTGGCTAACCTCCTGCTTCGAGTAATCCCGTTCAGCAACTAGCTGATCCAGGAGCTTTGACGTGAAAGAAATCAGGGGGTTGTGGTCCTTGACCCGGGGCATCAGCGCCTTCCCAATCTGGGCAAAAGACTCGCTCTTCTTTTCTGACTTGGAGCAGTATTTGGCTGCGTAATCGATCACCTGCTGGAGGCTCGTGCAGGGAGAGACATCTGTATTGGCTAGCCATGCAACGGTAAGCAAGCGGTTGTAGTGGTTAATCTGGCCATCGTTCCTCTCACCCCTAAAGCTCCAGTGCTTGGAGTGAGGCAACTTGTCAAGGGAGGCTAGTAGGCGCTGTCCGTGAGGAAATCCAAATCGGCACTCTACCTGCTTGGTATGCTTATTGGGCTGCATACAGTAGTTGTTGCAGCGGTGGCGTTGCACGCGGTTGACTACCATCGATAGGAACTGAACGGTAAGGGGCTGCTCCAATAGATTGCTGATCAGGGGATTCCCTTCCCCAGGAGCCTGTATTCGCTGAGGTGCAAAGCTCGGATCTGCGTCCGTGGCGACCTGCAGGACGAGGACGACGGACGGGAGACATATGCAGCCACCCTTGCAGCAAAAACCTTCAGAATCGTGATGGCAATCGCAGCCCGATTCGGTCTTGACGTTAGACAATTCGACGTTGGTAACGCCTTCCTGTACAGCGACCTAAAGAAGGACCATCCCGTCTACGTCCGGCTCCCGCAAGGCTTTGTAGAACTTGGTTTCTTGAAACCTGGAGAAGGCTCAACCATGATCGCGGAACTTGACAAGGCCTTGTATGGTCTTCGAGAGTCTCCACTGCTCTGGTACAATGAGATCTCCCAGGCCCTCAAGGAGGCAGGGATTGACCGTACGGATGAAGAACCTTGTGTGTTTACCAACGGCAAAATCCTGGCTCTTGTCTATGTCGACGACATCTTGATTCTCAACCCACGGCAAGAGAAGAAGGCGGTAAACGACCTGGTCCAGCATCTCCAATCCAAATACGATCTGCGCGAAGAAGAATTTAAGTGGTATCTTGGCATCAGAGTTGTAAGGGATCGACCAAACAGGAAGATCTACCTCTGCCAAGACGCGTACGTCGAGAAAATTGCGCGAAAGTTCAAGCTCAGCGACTTGAAACTCCGAGTACCATCAATCCCCATCGCGACGATCCCGCTCGTCAAGTACAACGGGCAGGCTACCAAGGAAGAGATAAAGGCGTATCAGGAACGAGTTGGATCCTTGATGTATATCGCGGCCATGACCAGACCCGATATAGCACGAGCAGCAGCCCAGCTCGCGAGGTTCCTGACAAACCCATCGCCTGAACACCTTGAAGCCGCAAACCAATGCATCCGATACCTATACTCAACGAGATTCCTTGCAATCATGTACGACGGGATGCATCAGGAGAGGTACTTGTGATCGCAAGCGACGCGTCATTTGGAGATGATATCGAGACCCGTCGTTCATCGCAGGGATATGTGATGATGTTGTTCAACGGACCGGTCATATGGAAAGCTGGACTCAAGACACAGTCACGACTTCAACCACCGAAGCAGAAATTCTCAGCCTAGAGAGAACAACCAAGGAGAGTTACGCCCTGGACCGACTATTAGGATATCTCTCTTGATCTCGGGCCTCTGAAGATTTACTGCGACAACCTTCAGTCGATCCGACTAGTGGTTGAGGAGAACCAGAGAATCACGACCAAGTTGCGGCACGTTGACATACAGAACATGTGGCTAAAACAGGAATTCAAGAAGGGTAGGTTCCTAGTGGAATACTTGAAGACTGATCAGATGCCAGCAGACGGATTGACCAAAGCGCTATCGAGAGCGAAATTCGAGCACTTCAGATCGATGCTGAATCTGACAGATATCAAGAGGAAGCAAATTTGGAAGTGGGATGTCGATGACCTTCTAGGTCAGGCTGGTTGTGATAGCTTTAGCAGCGTTGACTTGATCACTCAACGCTGGGGTGTGTCGCATATCAAGCCTGCCTAGGATGATTATTCATGAAGTGGCGATGTTACTCGCAACGCCGCTGTTGCCTGCTAGGCAACCACTACCGGTACTGCGTAATCACGCGACGGACCTTTCATTTGCGTATAAAGAGCTGCACAACTCCGTGCGTTCGTTCATTCACTTCTTGTTCTTTAGATAATTCTCATCAATTGCCTGATGCCATCTCTGACCCGTGTGGAGCCAAATGTCTGACAAGCTTCCGTTCGCTTGACTATGGCAAACCTATTTCGGCGTATATCTCAACATCAACCGACTTCAAAGTCGCGCTTGCATACGCCAAGCATCGTAGTACACAGAGCAAGGGCACTCATGGATATGTCTATCACATACAAGCAACGCCGAATGTGATTCCTCTGTCCGGAAGCATGGACCTACTGTCGGACGCCAAAGCGTTGTCCGAGTATGACGCGTTGGGCGGGATACACTGGGACCAAATCATTGGCTGGAATGCAATACCCCTGGACTCCGCGCCCGAACAATTCGCAGAATATGAGGCCAATCCAGAAAAGGACCTCATCGCCAATACGGAATATGACCACAAATACGACCAGTATTCTGCTAGTGGCCCTCAGCCACAGCTTGATGAGAAAAATTAAGATCCAGCCGGAGGAAAAACGGCATATCAGTATGCCATAGACTTCATGAACAGCGTGGGGGATGCTGTGGGGTGGAAAGGGAGCTTTCCCTTATTTACGGCTCCGGATCATGCAGAGAAAACAGCTTTGATAGAGGCAAAAGCCAAGGAAGCCGCTGAGACAGCTCAGCAAGCCAGCAATGCCGCCAATGATGCCGAACGGGCAGCTACTTCGGTCGACGGTGAGACAGATCATCAAGCCGCCTTTGCTGATGCAGAAAGGGCCGTTAAAGCAGCCAGAGGGGCAAAAGACCTTGCCAAAAGGTAGCCAGCCTATGCCAAGACTATTTTGCTCTTCGTACGGATGTTTATGCCTTGAGGAACGAAAGGCCTTCTAACGTGCCCGCAGACCCCGCCCTCTCCCCAAAAGTTCTCCGCCCTTGATTGGTCCCTTGTGATTGGTCCCTCCTTGCCTCCCTCCTCGTTGGTCGCTGCCCTTCCCCCGGCTTCTGTTGCCTTTTCGCGTGCCTTATCCCACCACTAGGCGCCTCCCACCCTGTCTGCCGCCTGCCGACTCTTCCCGCCTGCCGAACTCTTCATCGCGTCACCTAGCGCGGCCGCCTTGACTCTTCAGCATCACCGTCCAGCCAGCGCAACGCCTCCTCAACGGTCCTCTCGCTCAGTACCTCGAGCCTGGCCTGTGCGGCAGTCATCTCCTCGGGGACCCGGTTGCCCACCAAGTCTCTGTCCCGCACCTTGGACACGAGCATGATGCCGTCTAGAGTTCGGCAGCGCGATAGCTGCACGTACAGGCCGTACGGGTCGCACTGCGAGGGCACCACCGTTCCATCCATCTTCGTCGTCCGTGTCCTCGCAGCTCGAGGGCCACGCGCTCCAGCGTTTTGCCCTGCACCTTGTAGTCCGTGCACGCGAACGCTGCTGCGCACGGCAAACCCTTTCGGCTGACGTCGTTGCGTTGCCACGGCCTTTTTCGCTGGCACTGTATCTTAACGGTCATGGGTGTCAACAAGATCGTGCCCGGCGGCATCCCGACGAAGTGGAGATATCTCGTCGTCTCCGATTCGAGAATGATCCCCGCCGGCGGCCCGAAGTGGATCGTCATATCGGCCGAGATCCGATGCCCCGGGTACGCCTTGTCGACAATGACCTCCACCGCCGAGTAGCTCGCGCCGTTCACTAGCTTCAGCCCCTGGTGGGTGTTGTGGTTCACGACGATGGGCATCCCGGCCACGAACATGAAGACGGCCGGCACCGGGATCGCGCTATCGTCGCCCTGGTTGAGTATCATGATCGCCTCTTCCTCCGTCGGCAGCTCCTCCTTCCACTTGTGCTCGGAGATGAAAATGCGCATCGTCGACCGCTGCTGGACCCGGAACGCCAGGCTCGCCTCCATGTTCAGGTTCCACCGATTCCTATTGAGCGGCGTCACCACGGTGATGCCCGTCTCCCAAGGGATCCGCCTTCCTCCCGGTAGCACCTTGAGTTGAGGAGGTTTAGATCCGTCCGATCCTGCACGCCTAGACGGATCCGCTTCAGCAGCCTCTGCAGCTCCGGGTCGCCGGCGGCGCGCATCTGCTCGTCCAGCATGACGACCGTCGTGAACCTCTTCCACAGTGCGTGCGCTTTGTCGTGCTGGTGACGCTGCTCGGCCTTGAACGAGTTGTCTACGTCCCACGAGATGGCCGCGCTAGGCAGGACGATCGACCTCGATGGACCGGCCGGAACTGCTGAAAATCTCCGCAGAAGAGGACGATGGGGATCCCCCCGAAATCTTGCCGCGATCCGCGAAGCCGGCGAAGCCGCTCGTTCACGGCGTGCAGCGTCCGCGCCCCGAGCATGCTCACCTCGTCGATGACGAGCACATCCTTCTCCTGCCAATCCATTCGAGACTGGCCGTGGATGAACCGCTCCGCCTGTTTCGGCAGCCGCACCCCGTCAAGGTCTTTGACCATGTTCGCGCCCCCCGCCCCTTGGTCTTTAGTGAACCCGCAGGCGGAGTGGATCGTGATGCCGTTGATCCGCGCCGCCGCAGTCCCCGACGTCGCCGTGATCAGCAGACGATTCGAAAGGCTCTTTTACTGAACAGCTCGACGAGTGCCTCGATGATTCGCGACTTGCCGGTACCGCCCTCGCCACCGACGAACTGGCGCAGCTGGCAGGCATCGCCCCGTCGGTCTGCTGCATCAAATCGAGCTGGCGGCATATTATCAGAAAAGCGATGGACTGCCTCTTGTTCAGCGTCAGCCGTGTTGCCAACACCTTGCCCGCCGCGAGGAAGGAGGTTGATGGGCCAAACTGAACGTCCATTCCCGCCCCTGCGTCGATAGCGGTCTCGTCGGAGTCGGCCATCGTCATTTCGACCTCGTCCTCCCGAAACCGGTCATCACCCTTCGCAACGCTGCGCGGCGATCGCTTTCCCAGGCGGCGGGCGTGCTTTGTATCCCTTGGATCATCCTCTCCTCTCCTTCGAGGCACTTACCTGCTGCGACTTGATAGCCTTGACCTGATCCTGCGGCGGTAGTGCGGCCCCGGAAAATACCCGCCCTGGCATGCTTAACCGCCTCTCCCTCGTTCGATCAGCGCCGTGGCCTCGAGCTCGGCCGTCGAGCGCAGCGCCGATTGCTGAAACCGACAGAGCTGCTGTATCATTGCCATGAGCTCCGGCGACTTGGCCGTCACCTGATTCGCTCCCACTGCACCTCGGACGACGTCGATGAGCCGCGTTGCGTCTCCGATGCTGTTGGGCTGATATGTCGCTGCAGACTCCGCGCCCGCCTCGCCTGCTCCACCCTCCTCGACGTGTGCGACCGTCGGGTCGCCATCGCCGGACGAGGCTGCCCATTGCTTGGCGTCGCGTTTTGCGTCTTCGGCGGATCGTCGAAGCAGCTGCACGTTGTCGACCAGACATGATATTCTCGGGGCCATAGCGTCTCGAGCCCGCGCCCAGATGCTGTTGATCTCACCTGTTCCTTCGCCCAGGAAGGACTCCCACGGCACGAACAGCGCAAGATGCTGCACGGCTGCCCTTCAGGGGTGGGTTAGCTCTCCGATAATGCCCGCTGACAGAGCAGTTGCCATACACACCTCCGGTAGCACGACTCGTCATCGTAGGTGAAGTCCTTGCTCAGGTAGCCGTCGAGGCAGACGGTAGCGTGCTTGCCCGGCCGCCTGAGCACCTGAACCCAGCGTCGTCCCGGCGCCCATCCATCCTCGAAAGACATCTCCCCAAGCCGCCCAGCTCTCGTCGTTGCCGATGCGTTTCAGTCTGACGATCGATATGTAGTCATACAGGCATAGGCCTTTCAGCAGCTCTCCCGGTGCTGGTACGCCTCGACGTGGGAGATTCTCAGGCCTTCTTCTTCGACGACGACCGACTCATCCAAGGTGTCATCCGTAGCCGCAGCGCCACTGGCTTCTCGGAGATGCCGCCATCGCCGAAAGACTTCCCAGTACAGCAGAGAACAGTTCAGGTACGCCCACGCGCTGCTGTCGGTGAACTCGGCCGGATATCCGAGAAGGTGAGCGACGACCTCGACCTGTGATAGCGGACGCTCCGTGAACACGCGGTTCGCCACTCTCATCAGGAACTGTCGCGTCCTGTTCCCTTGACAGGGTCATCGGTGGCAGCGTCTCCGCCACCGTCCCGCCCTCCGTTTGCCGTGCCATCACCTGTTGAGGCGGCCAGGAGCTCGGCCGCGGCCGCCACACGCTTCCACACCGGGTCCTCCACCTTGGTCGCGTAGTTCGTGACATAATAGATGAGGGCCATTGTCTTGCGCTGCGTCGCAATGAAGGAAATATCATGGTTGTGCCGGAGCCCGACAGCAATAGCCTCGTTCCATCGATTGACCATGCTGTGTGTCCTCCGGATCTGCAGCACCCCGTCTGCCGTGAGGGCGGTCTTGTCGACTAACCTCCATGGCGCCTTGAACCGGCAGAGGTCCCTTTCCGCCCTCCTTTGCCCAAGGAATACTTCACACAGGTCGGGCTATGCGTGTGCACCTGCGTCGCGCCGGCACAGAAGTTGGCCTCCTCGATAAACGCGGCCGAGAACTGCGCGGCGTTGTCCAGCAGGGAACCAATACCGCCCGTCACAGATCGCTCCGCTTGCACGGCGCAAAAACTTTCCTGGTCCAGATCCTGCCTTGCACGTCAACCCGGCCCCACTTGGCCATCAGAAGAGTACTTCAGGCTCCCGGTGGCACATCTTAGGTAGGCATTCTTACCTCTGAGAAGACGCTATCGATGTATCGGACGATTCGCTCGCGATACGCCGCCTGATCCTCCCCGTGGATGTCGGCAAGCATCGAGCTGAGATGCGCGTTCCCGTGCAGCCAGAGCAAGCCGTGAACATGAAGCGCCCTCGTTCGTTCGTCTCCACGGCGCCATAGTACTTGCCGATGCGCCCGAATACCGACTCTTCACCGACCTTCACGTAATGATCGAAGAACAGCTTCATCTCGCGGTGGAAGAACACGGCCGAGCTCATGGGATCCGATATCGCCAGCCGTGCCCGCTTATACGCATCCCCAAGGCCTTCTAAGAACTCCTCGGCCGCGTCGGGATCGCGTGTGCGGTATGCCGCCAGTCGCAGCTTCACCGGGTTCGTAATGTCGTTCGGGTTGATGGTGAACCAGATGGCCGGCACGCCATATCCGACGATGAGCGACTGGATTTTCCGCCGCATATTGAGACGGACCTCTCGACATGGGCTGCCGGTGGCCGTAAAGCGAGAGGCTCCTGAGAAGCTCCTTCACGTCACCATCGGTCGTCTTACCCGAGCTCTCCAACTCGACCCTCGCCGCCGCTAGCCTTTCTGTGGTCATCGAACGCACGATGCGCTCTACCTTGCGGAAGTTCTTCCTCCCCACACTCAACATGCTGACCCGGCGGTTCCTCGACCGCACCCCCATGTTGAAGACGAGAAATGCGAAGATGTGGTGCAGTGCAAATCGACCACCATGGCGCCGGAGCACGATCTCGGCCCACGCCTGAAGGTTCAAGCTTCGAGACGATACGGGGTCTCCCGCGGCCGCCTCTGCCTCGACAGCCCTGCCTCGCAAGTTGGCCGTGACCTTCCCGCGTCGACCATGGTCTCTTCAACCAGCCTTGGTCCCCAACGCCAAATGGGAACAGGGTCGGGAACGTCCTGGCAAAGAAGGACGCCTCAAAGGAATCGGTAAACTCACCCCCGCGAAACCCGGATGTATGGCTCACAACCACCGTCGCCACGCCCCGAACCCCGGCTAGGGACCCGACCCACGCTCTCGGCCCGCACGGCCGTCGTCGGCACCTTCACCAACAGCGTCACAGGCAAACTGCAGCTTCTCCACGTCCGCGACGTCTGGCGGTCCGTCGAGCGCGAACATGCCAGAAGACGTCACCTCGTTGATCGCTGGAACGTTCTGGTCGGGGCAGGCGTCACTTCCATCGCGAACCGCGCCTTCTCCGTTGGGCCCGTGACCTTCACCCTGGCCGCCGGCTTCTTGTCCTTGGTTGAGCAGGGCGAAGAGCTCCTCGATCTCCACCGGCCCTCCTCGTCCACGGCGCGTTCCGTGGGCGGCACAACGTGCGCCGTCCGCGCTTTCTCCCACCCAGACGGCTCGTTCCGCTCCATACGATCGCACACCGACGACGGTACCCCGTGTATCGAGTCTCCCCAGCTCTCCATCTCCGCCGCGTCGATCTCGATCTCGGCGTAGTGGGGGTTGTTCCGCTTCAGCCAGACAAGGGCCCTCTCGACCACCCGCCGCCTCACCGACAAGAGACTCGACAGGTCGCTCGGTGCCGGCTTCTCCGCGCCCTGCCACGAGATGTGGATCTCGTCCAGTGCTTGCAAAAGGGGGTGCGGGAGCACTTTGGTGGCCAGCTCCTGCACATTGTTCGGAAACACTGTGATGTGGCCCCTGACATGCCTCGGATACTTCACGCTCTGTCTCTGCCCGCCCGGAATGCTATATCTCGTGACAAACCCGTAACATGAGTTCAGCGAGATGAGCTTCTCTTCGACCGGCGTCAGTCCCTTGAGCTCATCGGGAACATGTGCTCGCAGCCAAGGCGACTGTGAAGGTGGATCGCCGGCGACAGGCTCCTGCGCGCCAGGCATCGGCCACACTCGGCGCACACCGACACGGACTCGCCCTCAGGAAAGCAACTCCGGCATGAAAATGGTGAGCGGCCGCCCTTTGGTACGCAACTTGACAGCCAATGATCCCATGTAATCCCCTCAACTCTCCTCTCGTACACTTGCGGTAGCACACCATGCAGGTCCGTATCGGCAACGTGCTCGCATCGTGGAACGCCTGATAGAAGTCTCGCACCGTCGACACCTTCCTCTCGAGCGGTATTGGCGTGCACCACGTCTGATCGTTAGACAATCTCTCCTTCAAGGCAAAGTCTTCCTCCAAAAAGCGCAGCACACTCGCCAGGTCTTCGGCCTGCAGCTCCCGTCTCCTATGCCTTCCGATTCCACTTCGGACCTGTTTTATCGGGCGCCCATCCCGGCTAGGAAGACGGGCTCTCTTCTCCCGCCTCCGGGACTGCCTCTGTCCGCGCAGCGAGCCGTCCGCTGCCTCTGCTGCGCCATCGTCCACACCCACCTGTGCCCTTGGCCGCCGAACCGGTCCCCGACGGAGCTTGGGCAAACCCCATGCAATCGATGCTGCAAATTGCGCCGTTCGTCTTAGGTCTTGGAAAGTCGTATCCTTGGGCTGGATAGGTCGGAGCGTCGGTCCCTTTTCGAACGAACATCCGGGACACCGCCGGTCGCCGCCTTATCTCCCTGCCCGTCACCTTCAGGACCCTCTCCTGGGGCAAAACGGCCGATGAAGGGCGGACTGTCAGAGCCCACTGCCCCTGGTCTCCACGTTCTGTAGGCAACACGAACCTCGGAAGCGGACTCGGTGACTGACGTTGCGCGGAATTTCCGCTGCTGACCAAATTACGGGACTTCCGTGCTCTGCTTGACCGCAAACCGCCTCGCGGCGGTCTTCTCGGCAGTGACTTTGCGATCGCCCCTGCATGCTTTCTCCATGCGGTTTCTTCGACCGCAGACTGCTTAGGCTGAATCAGCCGGAACGTTAATGCTTCATTCGCCACTGATCTGTATCTCCCGAACCGCCCCAACCTTGTCTCCCGTGCTCCGTGCCCTTCTCGGAGTTGCCCTGTATCATCTCCGCACCCCGAAACAGGCACTCCCCGTTCCTACCCTCTTCTCCATCCTCGACTGACAACGAACAGGCTCCACGGTGAGCGGCCGCCTCGCCTAGCTTCCCTGCAGGACTGTCCGCCATGCTACTGCCTCCTCGACGTCGACTAGCGTGGATTGGCAACAGGCTAGAAAGTTTTGGCTCGGAGCACTTCCACTTGGATAATCTCGCTTCTTGGCGTACACTATTTCTTTCCGAGTGGGAAGCTTCCTAACGATCACTACTCTCATGGCCGTGGCATTTCTTCCCTTATAATGCTTGCCTATGGTACCGAAGCGATGCAATACTACTACCCCTTTGTAATCCCCCATTTACCCTCCCTATGTGCGTCCACCGTCCCGACCCTCGGCTGGTCTCCACGTGCGACCTGCTACCCCAGCTTTGCCAAAGGCGGCCCTTCCATCGCCGTGCTCTCTTTTGCGCACTCCAGCGAATCCTGGCTACTGCCGACCTCCGGCACATGGGGTGGCCGCGCCAACCGCCCGCCGCACACTTCCAACCATACTCTCCGGCCCTTCCAACGCCTTCCCACCCACCTTGCGCATCAGTTGCTCCATCAATATCTGCCACTCCACCTCGTCGAGCAACAGCCAAAAGGCTGCCGGCGATAACATGTCCACGGTGTCCCTCGTGCAACCGGACTACCCGGCTAGGTTTGCTCCCTCGCCACCACCAACGTCGCATCAACGGCCTTCATGCTAAAGCGACAGCCAGGATCCCCCTGCCTGTCCTCTTGTAGTCGCTAGCCACCGGAGTCTCGACTTGCAAACCCTCTTGGAGAGTTCTCGTGACCAACTCGCATCCTCCTCCTCAGCTCGTCCCCTATATCCGACTTCACCGTGTCCCAATAGTGGACTCGACACGGTCGGCACCCGCCTCGCTCAGCCGCACGCAATGCCCATCCAACTACCGACGACCGTCAAAAGGGACCCTGCAATACTACCATAACCTCTTTCTTTCCTTCACTCTCATTCGTTATTGTCGCCTTTGCTATCTACTCCATGCAACGATGACACCGAAGGGTACTGCTGGACTTTCTTTCTCCGCAGACTTACCCACACTAACCTTACTGTTCGCCGACCTCCAACTTCTCGCGACATAGCCATCACCCCTACTCAACTTCCAACCCCGGCTCCTACTTCACTCACGACCATAGAACCAGATGGTCGAGACTGTTCAAGAACCTCGCCAGCTCATTCCCGCATACCCCCGCTTCTGATCTATCATCTAGGTAGCATTCTCTGACTCTTAAGTCTCCCCGACCCTAGCCGCGAGCCCTCTTTCGAGCAGCAAGAAAACCTGCTTTATAGGATGCCCACCTCCACTCTGCGTAACCCCTCATTTACACTTCCACGGTGACTACATCTGCCATGTTCTCACGATGTCGGCCTCCCAGCTCAACGTCGATACCTCGTCCTCCCCGCGGCAACCTCTTGACAGCCAGAAAATGCTGGCGCCGACATGTCCATGATGGCCTTTGTCCAGCCCGGCTGCCCGGCTAGGTTCGCCTACCAGAATGAGCATCGTGTCAAAGGACTCAACGCAGAAACCCTAGCGAGGTCTTCCTTCCCACGCCCTCATGGCTGTCGACTCCGGGTATGCAGCAATCCGGTCAGATACTGGCAATCCATCGACCTGCATCTTCTTCAGCCTTAATATTTCCATATACAACCAACAGATAATCTCCTCGGAATGGACCGAGCAATGGTTCTTCATGGTCGGCCGTGTTCATCCCTTTGCCCTGACGTGGGAAATCGAGCGACGTGATGGCTTGAGTCGGACGATGATAACATCACAGAATACACCGTCCCCGCGCTTATAGTCCGCGATCACAGCTACCAACCGTGAGTCTATGCTCCAAATCTCTCTGTCGCCACTGCCCTCCCTGACGATATCCATAGAATTGTCACTCGCACCCTCAGCTCGGTGGATACTTTCCCAACGATACAACCCATTGTCTCCTTCATGGGACCTGTCATCGGCTCCGGCCGCGACCTCCTGCATGGAAACTCGGCTGCGGCCCTTGACGACACCCAGCTGAGCTGCTGCGGCTTTGTCCAGCTCTCCACCTTTATTTGTCCTGGGATTCCCGGCAAAACCCCTTCAAGGGCTTTCACCCTTCCAAGTTTTCGTCATCTTCCCATTCACGCTAATCCTTGGACCTCCCTATGCAAGAAGATGACCGAGAGGCGCGACAGCCAGTTCCAGTCGAACGCTCTCTTCACCTGTACGGGCAAAATCGCCGGCTTACTGGATCACCAGATCATGAAACATGCCCCGGCTTTCGACCAAGACTATATCTTCATCGTCGTCCCCGACACGTGGACTTTCCACGACAAGGCCATGTCCGACCAGGCTTCTGCAACACAACTACTGCCGACGACACCCAAGAGCGCGGTCGGCAATCCTCGGACTATAGCGTTGCGTTGGCCAGGTTTACCTCTACGAAGAAACCCAAGGCCGCCCAAAGCCCCGCCTCCCCACGCCGCATGCTTCTGGCCCAGTCGATCCTTATGCTGGCATCAAGTCGGTCAATGCCCGATCCCTACCAAACCCCAACCAAGAGACCGCGACTTTCTCCCGAAACTTCCACCATAATCACCGACTGTGACGGTCAAGACTCCCCCAAATCCGATACCTCCTCCTTTCTGTCCCCGGAAGACCCCGCAGAGTCAGAGACGGACACCGAACAGGTCAATCACCAAGACACATCCGCCTCTGGCTCTATCAGACCTCCCGCGTCGATATCTTCCCGACCACTGCGCGCCCGACGTCCGCCCAAGAATATTCTCTAAACTTTAAAGCTTCAAACGAAACAATACAACATGACAACATGTCTCATCATCCTCAAAATCAACTGCCAAAGGCTCGAATAGCACATTCTCTTCTCTTCTTGTTCTCCTTTTCATGAAGACGATCAAGTCAAAACTTCCCCAATATACTCCTTATTCTGTTTATACCTACGACTTATACCGGTAGCACATGTAAATTTTCCGAGCCTTCCACTCGCCCAGACATGCATTACCCACTCACATCTCTCTTCAACCCTGCCGTCTCTCCACGCCCTTTGAGTTTGCGCCTTTTAAACAAAATCTCCCTCCAGCGGCCTAGCCTGCCTCCCCGACGCTCTGTCTCGGTTTCACTCACGATAATGCTCTACGTCTCTCGCCGTGTCTCGTATCTCGACCTCACTCTTCTTCCTGTCTCCTATCTACTGTCGCCAACTCTCTCTCTCTCTTCTGTAGCCAACTCTTCTCCGGTTCTCTTGTCGCCAAATTTCGTTCCGAAAGGCTTCTTTGCGCGAGCCGCGGCTGGCGAGCCTTCCTCTCGTACTCAGTCAGAAAGCAAGGCATAAAACCTCCTCTGATTGGCTAATTGGCCTGGCCCGTGCTCAACTCGTGCGCGGATTGGTCGACTGATAACGTCACCAAAGGAAGGCCCGCAAAACTACCCTGAGCGTTGACAAGGAAACTAGCTTGCTTGGCAAAGTCTTCAGGAGTTTTCAGTTCTTCCTTTCTTCCATGCGGTCAATTTGTTGCGTTGCTATGCACGATTTTGACTGAATAGCCCCCGTGCCCCATACTCCTTACACTAAACTACATGGCGGCTGCTCCCCTTTTCTGTCGAACCTGTCAAACCACATCAGTTTGTTAACGGTATCTAGGCTCACACATGACCTCCGGCTGCCGGCCTACCTCTCAAGATTCCCTGGCTACCCTGTCCGGGAAGCAGTGCAGTTTCCTCCTGATCATTCAGACCTGATCTAATTACCTGAAAGACAGCCTCCCCATCGAGATCTATCACGGTATTACACGTAGGACGTCGCAGAGCCTCCCTGCCCGAGCGAAATCGAGCAGTCTAGGTGTTTATGGTGTGGATACATATACAGCCAGATGGAGGACGATATACCCCAGGCGGTTCGGAACTGCCATACCTGCAAGCAATACCTGCCCGAAGTCGAATTTCGAAGCGTCAAGGACCCTACGAAGTTTACAAGAGACTGTGCTAGCTGTAAGGCACGCCGAAAGGAACGGGTAACCGAATCTCGAGCCGCCGTTGCCGCAATGCGGAATATCGCCTTGAGGCTATCGCCACGCAGAACCAGGAAGAGGACGGATTCGCTAGCTAACCTGACGCCTCCAAAGCGGACTGCGCCAACGCCTGCGTCTGTGAACGGCCCACAACCTCATGTCATGCCTGCTTTATTCCGTGGCCAGGCGCCTGCACTGGGACTGCCTATACCTCCGCTGGGGCCATCTACCCTAAGTGCTGTTGGGGGACCTTCCCTATCCCTCCTACCCATGTCCTGCCAACAGTAGTTCTGGGCACGCCGATTCAAGACACTGCTTCTACGGCACCTGTTGTGCAAGGCACCCTGTACCACAGGAATCGCTTCCTACCACTCCTTCATTATTGCCACAGTGTCATCGCCGCGGCCGTTATACTCGTCAAGGCACACAGCCTCAAGCGCGACAGTTTGGTCAGAGTATTGATCCGCCTTTTACAGGTGACCTTAACTTGCCTGCCCTTAGTGAGGAAGATCAAGCTCTTGTGAGGGAGTTCTATACTGCGCTGAATGACGACAAGATGCATAGTTGCATTCGTTGCCAGGAGCGTTGGTTCGATATGAAGCGAAATAGCTTGAAAATCTGCAGCCGCTGCATTGGTCGAGACAGGAAGAAAACCCCTCACGAGCCCTACTTCTTTAGCGCTGCGAACAACCTTGACTTCGGGGAAGTCCCCGGCAATCTACCTGATCTAACAATGGTCGAGGAGATGCTCATTGCTAGGGTTCACGTACACGTGAAGGTCCTGCAGGTACGTGGCGCTCAATATAAATATCGCGGTCACGTTGTCCACTTCCTTCGCAATGTTGGCAGGCTATTTGAAGAGCTCCCAGTCCTACCTGAAGAGCTAGATATCGTCCTCCTGCGGCCTACTAATATGGAGGGCGACCCTCGCTTCCGGCAACAGTTTGCTCGCGATTTCGGGTACGCCGCCCATGCCTGTTGGCCTGGCTGCATTACCTACAACGCCACCACCCGGGCTATCGCGATATCGCCGTGAGTCAGGATCGCCTGCACCGGCTTCCTCTTGATGGCAACATAGTTGCTTCCATTGCCAGCCAAGTGGCTGACATGCCTGACGGCGAGGTCCCCCAAGGGCCCGTTGAGGAGGCTGTGGAAGAGGATCCTAGCGACGCCGACGCATCAGCGATCCCGAATTTGCAAGTTTCCGATACCGAATTGAACGCTCTGCAGTCCCGATTTCTTGATGGTGCCCTAACCTGAGCGCATGACTGATCTGGAGTATATGCCGCGTAGCGCGCAAACTCTCCACCGGATGCCGCTGCCTTCCATTCGCAGGGCCCCTATCGACGAATTCAACCGTTCCCAGCCGCTGCTAACGCTCGCGTTCCTACCCTCTACCCTGACGGCAAGGCCGACTTCGTGGAGCCTCGCCTACGGAGCATCACGTACCAGGACTACCTTGGCCATGCGATGAGATGGCATGACGGACGTTTTGCCCGCCATAAGACGTGGCCTTTCGTCGCCCTCAACACGCTGTTACGTGCGCAGGTCCGAAAGCGAAGTGACTACTTCGTCAAGCAACGCGACAGCCGCCGTCAACCCTTACACGCGCTGACCTAGAGGAAGCGATGGCTGAGCCTGACGAGCCAGAGGCTCAGGACCTGATCCAGTCGATCACGCGCCAAGCCGCGGTAATCAGGGGCACCCGGCCGTATTGGTATAAGCAAAGAAAGGAATTGGAAGCATATGCCTACAATCTGGGCAGACCTGGCCTTTTCGTTACTGCAAGTGCGGCCGATTACCACTGGGAGTCCCTATATCGTCACATGCCTCGATTCCAAGAGTGGAAAGCAGCTCCTGAGGCGGCGCGCATGGTCCTGTCCCGGCAACTACTGCGAGACAACGCCCACATCGCCGCTTACCACTTCCATAAGCGTTATACGCTGTTTAGGACTACTGTCCTGAAGCAGAAGTTCAACCTAACGGACTTTTGGGGCCGTTACGAGTGGCAGGGCAGGGGTTCCAGTCACCACCACGGCCTATATTGGCTAAGTGGCCACCCAGACTTAGATCCTGACAACGATCAGTCCGGAGCAATTCGCCCGCATCTGGGGATATCACGTATCTGCTGTCAACCCAGAGCCTCAGCGAATACAGGCGCCTGGGGAAGGGAATCCCCTGATCGGCAATCTATTGGAGCAGCCCCTTACGGTTCAGTTCCTATCAATGGTGGTCAACCGCGTGCAACGCCACCGCTGCAACAACTACTGTATGCAGCTCAATAAGCATACCAAGCAGGTGGAGTGCCGCTTTGGATTTCCTCACGGACAGCGCCTGCTAGCCTCCCTTGACAAGGTTCCTCATTCTAAGCACTGGAACTTCAGGGCGAGAGGAACGATGGCCAGATTAACCACTACAACCGCTTGCTTACCGTTGCGTGGCTAGCCAATACAGATGTTTCGCCCTGCACGAGCCTCCAGCAGGTAATCGATTACGCGGCCAAATACTGCTCCAAGTCGGAAAAGAAGAGCGAGTCTTTTGCCCAGATTGGGAAGGCTTTGATGTCCCGGGTCAAGGACCACAACCCCCTGATTTCCTTCACGTCAAAGCTCCTTAATCAGCTGGTTGCTGAGCGGGATTACTCGAAGCAGGAGGTCAGCCACTTGCTCCTCGGCCTGCCGTTACAGGAAGGCTCACGAACCTGCCTGTACGTTGACTGTCGTAATCCTGACAGGCATTCCCGCTCCCTCCGTATTGATGGCGATGAGGTTGACGAGGCCCCCAACGTTTTCGAAAAGTACTGTCAACGCCCGGAAGCCCTAGCGGACCTAAACTACGTCTCCTTCCTGAAGTGCTGGAATTTCCGCCCTAGGGACCCTTCCAAGTGGAAGCAATGGCAGCCAGGCAACGTTAACGGTAGGCCTCGTGTGCTGGTTTACTTTCCTCGCTATCAGGCTGCTCCAGAAGGCCAACAGTGGCTAGATTACTGCCGTGCAAAGCTAACATTAAACCACCCACATCGGCGGGTTGATGATCTCCTCACATTTGATGGCCAGCTTTTGGTTCTCACGCTGAGGCCTTCTCCTATTGTTGGCAGCACCACAGTCATGGTGATGACCATTACGGTCGGCAAAAGAGGCTCGATTACAGCCTCAAGATGATCAATACGAGGCTCTGCCTGTGGAGGAAGAATTTGATGACGAAGACTGGATTCGCCTCGCCGCCTTTTACCTGACAACCCCTTACCCAGGAGGATCTTGACCTACTTGGCCGCCGCGATATCGACGTCAATTACGACTGGACACGGCATGTGGGTACTTATCCGGAACTTCGAGACGGCTACTGGAAAGACCTTATCGCTAGCCACCCCATGGCCAACGATGTCGAGGTCCTTGGCCCTCACTGGCGTAATACGCTGAACCCACAACAACGGCTCGTGTACGACACATTCATGGGTCACTTCCAGGCGCAAATCCTACTCAAATCCTTCTCCACGTTGATGGCGGTGGTGGCACAGGCAAGTCATTCCTTATCAAGGTGCTTTCTTCCCATCTTCAAGCAGCCGCCCTACCGAATTCTAGCCCTATTTGCCGCGTGGCGCCAACAGGCGTTGCGAGTAACCAGATACAAGGCAGCACCATTCATTCGTTGCTACGCCTCCCAGTAGGTGGTACTTTTACCGACCTTCCCCCAGCCGACGCAGCCGCCCTTCAGTCCCGCCTACGGCACGTCAAATACCTCGTTATCGATGAAAAGAGCATGCTAGGGCTTGAGCAGCTCGCGCGGATCGATTCCCGTCTGCGGCAGGCCTTTCCACAGCGTAGCCTCGAGTTCTTCGGTGGTGTGAGCGTCTTGCTTGTGGGCGATTTCTTCCAGTTACCACCAGTCCGACAGAAGCCCTGTATTCGACTAGCACCAGCCTGTCTTCGTTGGAAAGGAGAGGGCAGGTGGCCTACCGGCTATTTGACCGCACCGTCTTCCTGACCACGGTACAGCGCCAGGTTGGTGATGACCAGGCCCAGTTCCGTCAGGCGTTACAGGAACTGCGTGAAGTCAAGTTATCTATACCATCCTGGAACCTCCTTAGCAATCGGGTACAGGCCAGGTTGACGCAGAGCGAGGTTGACGGCTTCAGGACCGCTTTGCGAGTGTATTCTACAAAGGCCCGGGTCAACCAATACAACCACGAGCATATGGTGCACCTCAACGCCCCGGCAATACAGGTCGAGGCAAAGAATCAAGGCAACGGCGCGGGACAGGCATCAAGCGACAGTGCTGGCAACCTATCTAACAAGTTCCCTGTTGCTAAGGGCACCAGGGTGATGCTCACGACTAATCTGTGGCAGCCAGCTGGCTAGTTAACGGTGCTCAGGGTACTGTATACGATATCGCCTGGAACGCAGGCGCCGACCCGTTGGAAGACCCCCCAGCCGTTATTATGGTGGACTTTGATATCTACGACGGACCGCCGTATCTAACAACTAACGAGGGCAGGAAAATCTCACCCATCCTCCCAGTCAGGCGAGACTTCCTTGTGGGCAACGAGACCTGCGCTCGCACGCAGTTTCCCCTGATGGTGGCGTTTGCTATCACTGTTCACAAATGCCAGAGCCTAACGAAGGATCAAATAGTTACTGATCTCGCTACACGCGACTTCCAGGCCGGCATTAGCTATGTTGCTGTCTCACGGGTTACGTCGCTGCAAGGCTTACTCCTTGAGGTGCCTTTCGATCGTCAGAGCCTCTATAACCACACGCCGACGGAAGGTTTACACGCCTGCGTTTCCTACGTACCGCGTTCACGACTAACTATAAGGCAGGGATGAAGATGCGCCTCGCTGACCAACAACGGCGTCAGGGTCAACAGCTGACCGACCCACCATATCCACCACGCTACCTTGACTAAACGGCATGTTCCTCTAAGCTGCGGGGAAAGGGGAGGTTCGATATATAGTATATAGTTATAGTTAGGTTGGGCCTGTTGGGAAGCAGCAGAGAGACTCCCTAACTATCAGTCAATTCCCTCAGTGCAGGTTTGAAGCGGTTTGAACAGCTGGTGTGCCCGCGGCAGGCGAATGGGGGGTTCTAGGGGGTCTCCCCCTAGGAAAGTGAATTGCAGGTTACGATATTTACCCTTCGGGCTGGATATTCAGCCGTTAAGCCCCTTGCCTTGGCAACTTAACGGGTGTTCGAAGTATTTTAATTTGATACGGTTGAGCACCAATCGGTATGACGTTGCAAGAAAAACGAATCGCTACCAACAGCGGCGACGGCTGTATTGGATCCTTGCCTCCTTGCAAGCGTCGTAGACTTGCATCTCAGGCTTGGCGTCGGCCTCCTTTCGATCCTGATGTAACGGGCAAGCCGCTTTAACGGCGGCTGCGCCGCCTAGCTTCTAGAACCTTCCATTGGCTCGAAGCTATAAAATGCTATTGTGCTCTCATGTAGTAGATTCTCTTTCTTTCTTTCTTTCTTCTCTATCTTGATAGTAAACAGCATAGGGACTAGTTAGTTGTATCAACTCACTAGAGGCCTTTCACATACTATCAAGATCACTGAAGACATTGAAGACACTGAAGACACCGAAGACACTGAAGACACCGAAGACACCGAAGACACTGAAGACACCGAAGACACTGAAGACACCAAACTGAGTCCCGTCGAACTATTAGCGTTCAGCGAAGTCGCGATGGCCGAAGATAACAACAACATGCAGCCGGACGTCCTCAGCGCCCTGGTTGCCGAGATACGAAGTCTGAGAGAAGAGAGTTCCCGAAGAAACACCCAGTTTGAAGAACGTTTTATTGCCCTGGAACTCCAACAACACCAGCAAGCCCGTTCGTCTGAACTCCTAGAGCCAACGCCATCTGTCACCCCGGCTGTCCCCATTGAGGACACCCGTGTGGTCGCCACTCACAACCCTCACCCAACCAAGCGCCCCAAATTACGAGACATACCGAAATTCGGCGGCGACAAGGCCCAGTGGCGAAGCTGGAAACTAGAAACCGAGGGAAAGCTACGAGTCGACAAAGAAGCCCTTGGAGATACAGAAGGCCACTTTATGTACATCTTCATGAGCCTAGAAGGCAAGGCTAAAGACAACGTGACCACATTTGTCGAGATGCAAACCGAGAAGAAAACGTTCAATGTTGCTGAACTACTCAACCGCCTCGAATTGCTGTACGGGGAGAGGGATCGCAAGCAGAGAGCTACACGCAACCTGCATTCGATTAAGCAAGGAGAGAATGAACCGTTCACGTCCTTTTACCCCCGCTTTGAGAGGGAGATCGCCAACGCCAACGCCGAGTATTGGCCAGATGACAGCAAGATTTCCTACCTCCAGGAGGCACTAAACGATAAAATGAAAGCAGCCCTCATAGGCTCTGACCCTCTGCCATCAGCAGCTATGTTGGGCTGGCGAGGAGGTGCGATTCGCTGAGCAGCCAGATGGAATTGTTGGGTCAGTGGAAAAGGCCTCGAGGCAACACAAAGAGTTCGGACAACTATGACAACCACCAGAATCATGGAGGCCAGGCTGCCCAGAAACAGTCTGGCCAGAAAACCGAAGTTAGACGAGAGGATATGATGGAATGGGAACCAACTCTACAAGCATCCGCGAAAGTGAACGCTGCGCGCACCCGCAGTGATAAGAACACATATGGTTACCAATCCAAGCGACCAGAAGACCAAGCGCTGTTGGGCAAGCGTGCCAAGTGGGTCGACCAGGCCGAGATGGACGCCCGTTACCGTGAAGGGCGTTGCCTCCGTTGTGGAAGAGACAACTGCAGAATCGAGCGCTGTCCATTGGCTGCGCCTATCCGACCCGCAAACACGACCCGACGCACTCAGGTCAATGCCGTGACCCCGTCACGACCAGCGGTCACTAAAGCCGAGGTCGCCGAAGACGATACTTCTTCTCATAGCGATGAAGATTCAGACTAGGGACACGCGGCGGCTGTGAGAGAATGGGATGTGAGCGGAAAAGCAAAAATGGACGGAGAACCGTTCATAGCAGACGTCAGGGTGAACGGCACAGACTTCGTGCCATCTCTTGTCGACTATGGCTGCCTCTGCTACGGCGCGGTTAGCAAGCGCACATTTCACTCTCTCCAGTTGCCACATATACGCGTTCAGCCGCGTATCTTGGAGAACGCAGCCGGAGACGGCAAGGAGGTCAAAATCGACAAGATCACGTATGTGTCGATCGACCTCGATGGACATCAGCAGCATCGTGTCTTCATGTACGTCATCGACGATCTGAACTGGGATATGATCCTGGGTAAACGATGGATGGAAGACCAGGATGTTCACATCCATGCGAAGGAAGGATATCTCGAGATCGGGTCCAATGGAGTTCAAGTACGAGACCGACGACGTTACCAGCCTCCCTAGCTAGATGTCTCTAATGTCATGGCCGCAACCTTTTTAGCAGAAGCACGCCGTGACAAACGCAAAGGCGGCATTGGAGTTCACTCGGTCACGATGGCGGATATTGACAAGGCCCTAAGACCGAAACCGAAGACTGACGTAATGGAGAAGCTGCCACCACAGTACCACAAGTGGTCTCGAGCTTTCTCTCAGCAACTGGCCGACCAGCTGCCCCCTCATCGGCCAGGTGTGGACCTGAAGATCGAAGTGCTGAAAGACGAGCATGGCCGAGAGAAGCCCTACCCTGGGGACCGCTTTACAGCATGTCCCGCGAGGAGCTATTGGTACTACGGAAGACTCTCACAGAACTACTCGACAAGGGATTTATTAGAGTCAGCAGCTCGCCAGCCGCGGCACCAGTCCTTATGGTGAAGAAGCCCGGCGGAGGCATCCGCTTCTGCGTGGATTACAGAGGTTTGAACCATATAACGAAGAGGGACCGCTATCCCTTGCCCTTACTGAGCGAGACCTTGCGAACGATAGCCAAGGCAAGGTGGTTCACCAAGGTAGATGTTATAGCAGCGTTCCATAAGATCAGGGTCGCCCCGGCGACGAGGAAAGACAACTTTCAGAACGCGCTATGGATCCTTCGAATGGCTGGTAGTTCCATTCGGCCTGACAGGCGCACCAGCAGCCTTTCAGCGGTACATTAACAGCGCGCTCCAGGATTACCTAGACGATTTTGTGTCAGCATATATCGACGATGTCCTGATCTTCTCCTCTGGAAGCCTGCAAGACCACCGCGACAAGGTCGGCAAGGTCCTCCAACGACTGATGGACGCCGGGCTGCAACTGGATATCAACAAGAGTGAATTCGAAGTCAAGGCTGTGAAATACCTTGGGTTTATCATCGAGGCGGAGTGTGGGATCCGAGTCGACCCTGAGAAGGTTGAGGCTGTGAAGGAATGGGCAACCCGACGAATGTTAAGTCCGTGAGGAGTTTTATTGGATTCGCGAACTTCTACAGGATGTTTATGCCAGAGTTCTCGGTGATAGCGGAGCCGCTAACGCGGCTAACGAAGAAGGACGTGCCATTCCGTTGGGATGAATTGTGCGAAGAAGCCTTCGAGAAGCTCAAGGACCTGTTGATCACGGCCCCGATCCTTGCACACTTCCATCCAGAAAGGGAGACTATCGTGGAAGCAGACGCTTCAGGGTTCGCGTCGGGAGGCGTGCTCTTGCAGAGAGATGATAAGGATGGACTGGTACGACCTGTCGCATACTTCTCGAAGAAACATTCGGCAGCCGAAGCGAACTACGCTATCCATGACAAGGAGCTACTCGCCATTCTCAGATGTTTGGAGCAGTGGGAACCAGAGCTACGGGCAGTAGAGCACTTCAAGATCCTAACGGACCACAAGAACCTGAGGTACTTCTACTCGGAAAGGAGGTTGACAGAGAGACAAGTGCGGTGGTCGGAGTTCCTGTCCAGGTTCCAATTCGAGCTCGAATGGAGGCCGGGCCGCAAGGGCGGATTGCCTGACGCACTCTCTCGACGGGACCAGGATATGCCGGCCAACTACTCCGATGAACGACTAAAGGGACGCATTATGAGGCTATTCCAAAATGATCACCTTAGAAGGGTCCCAATATCGACATTGTCTACCAACAACGAGGGTGCCCAGGAAATCAACTTCGGAAAAGAGATCAGGATATTTGAAGATGAGGAGTTACAGCAGCTGTGGCACGCCGCACGGCAAGAAGACAAGCTTTATCAAGAACTCACGAAGCTGGTAGCAGATGGAGCGAAGAGTTTGCCAACAGAGTTACAGAAGGTTGTCAGCATTTCAGAATGCTCATTAGACAATAGAGGCCTGCTGTGCTTTAGAGAACGCGTCTGGATACCCGGTTCGGAGCCGCTACGTACAAAGATCATCCAGGAAACTCACGACTCTCATATCACCGGACATCCTGGAAGGGACCTCACGTACTCGACTCTGTCGAGACGCTTCTTCTGGCCGGGTGCCGCTAGCGATGTACGTCGGTTTGTGCGCAACTGCGAGGTTTGCGGACGAAACACCATCTGGAGGGATACAAAGAAAGGACTCCTAAAGCCGCTCCCTATTCCGCAACGCATATGGAGCGAAATTACCATTGACTTTATTACTGACCTCCCACCGTCGGGGAAAGATGGCGCGACGAACTGCATGGTGGTCACGGACCGACTCACCAAAGGCGTCGAACTCGAAGGATTGAACGATATTTCCACAGAAGCGGTTGCAAGAAGACTCTTCGAACGACACTACCCTGTCCATGGCATCCCAACGGCTATAACCAGTGATCAGGGTCCCCAGTTTGTCAGTGGTATGTGGAAAAGTTTCTGTCAGATGCTAGGGATCGAGCAGCGGTTGTCGACGGCGTACCATCCACAAACCGACGGTGCAACAGAACGAATGAACCAAGAGGTAGAGAGGATTCTTCGGATATGGACGAATTATCTGCAGGAGAACTGGTTAGACTTGCTTCCAATCGCGATGGCGACTATTAACGAGAGGAAGCAACCTCCACCGGACTGAGTCCGTTCTTCTTCATGCACGGCTACCACAACGAGCCAATCCAGTTAGTTGAGCATCGAAGAACGGAAGACACGACGCAGGGGGAAGCGACAGCGGAGGATTTTATTCAGAGACTACAGGACGCCACGGAGTTTGCGCAAGCAGCGATAGCTATGGCCCAGGAAATACAGCAAGCGCAAGCCAACAAGCACAGGACAGCCGCACCGAGATACGAGCCTGGGGATTGGGTATACCTCAACTTGAGAAATGTCAAAACATCGCGACCCTGCAAGAAGCTCGATTGGCTACATGCCAAATATCAAGTGCTCGCGGAAGTTAGCCCACATGCCTACAGGTTGGATGTGCCTGGGCGCATCCATCCAGTCTTTCACGTCGACCTACTCCGGCCAGTCCCCGGAGACCCATTGCCTTCGCAGAAACTCGATCAAGAGAGTGCCCCACCGGTGCTGGTGGACGGCGAAAGATGTACCTTGTTGAAAGAATTCTGGATGAAAGAATGGAAGGTACGCATAAGAAGGTGCTCGTAAAATGGCATGATTACTCGCAGCCTACGTGGGAACCCCTTACCACTATTCGACACACCGATGCATGGAAGCAATGGAAGAAGCATAAAGGAGTGTCACCTTCTCAAGTCATCTTGCCACAGATTGCCACGATCCCCGGAAGAGGAAACGTTGGAAGGGAGGAGGTAATGTAACGGGCAAGCCGCTTTAACGGCGGCTGCGCCGCCTAGCTTCTAGAACCTTCCATTGGCTCGAAGCTATAAAATGCTATTGTGCTCTCATGTAGTAGATTCTCTTTCTTTCTTTCTTTCTTCTCTATCTTGATAGTAAACAGCATAGGGACTAGTTAGTTGTATCAACTCACTAGAGGCCTTTCACAGCCATGGTCTAGCATGAACCATCTACCTCGAAAGGATTACCACAAGGATTGGAAGCGCGGCCTTTAACACTGAAGTAAAGACTGCTGCCGATCGAATCATCACATTGATGGGCCGCTTTACGACGGGTATCGACCAACTGGCAACGTTGTGGCCACTCCTCACTGTAGGCATTGCTACCGTCGACCCATACCAGCAAAATACCTTGCGTCAGCGGCTGGTTGGAATGGAATGCTTCGGATTAACGGTACGGACGATTTACCTTACGTTGTGGCCTTTGCTTACCGAATGTCTAGTATGTAAGCCGTGTCCTGGAGGCACTACAGTATTCGTGGAGTGATGGGGCAAGTTATGCGGAGCTTGAGCCGATGCTGTCATCTGTCAGAACGGTGGTTCTGCGGCTCGGGCCTAATGAGGAAATAGGTAGGTATGCACGATGGATCAAGGTTTAATGCAGCAGCTTGTGTGCAGCTGCAAAAGAGGTTGTATTGATTGTGATGATCTGTGTTCTTTTTCTTCTTGAGGCCTGTCAAGATCGGAACGCTCATTCACTGTGCTGCCTAACAGGCAGCAAGCAGTTCGTAATGCCATATTAGTGATGGATTCGAACCTTCTAGGTGACGTCGTCATCTATGCTGCCTGGGTGGCAACATCGCCACTCAGCCCAAAATCACAAGTATAAGAAGCCAACTTTTCACCATCACTTAGATAGAGAATTAAGAGTCTTTCGTTGCCCGATTCACAGGGGATCTCCTTCCCGATCGTTGCTCAGTCATCCATACTGTCCGTGCCTCTTGTTGTGTGACAAGGCCTCTAAGGAGGCCTCGTCCCTAAAGGGAAATTGGCTGCCGGATTTGCCCGGTGTCTGCACGTGATGATGCACGTGATCCGACATGTGTTTCTACCGTCAGTTCCGACATCATCAAACCTTGTTCCTTGAATGCATGGTAACTGTAAATAAAGGCAGCAGGGGGCATTTACAGGCTACAACGGATTGAACTATCAGTATCAGCACACATCGCATGAATCGCCAATACGAGGCAGTTCCCCGACAAGTCTCGTATGAAGACGACCGAGGATGTTGATACTAGCTTGTGGAATCAATGTTTCATGGAGGTGCATCAAGGAACCACCCCCATTCTAAGGCTGGTAAAGATACTCAAATTCAACACTCTTCTACGGCCGGTCGCTTGCTCCTCCGAAATTTCTGAGCACGCTGCCTCTTGTGCCTTTGCCTAGGAGCTTGCCATCTTTGCTCGGGCGATAGAAGCCATGCATCCTTCCTCCCGGTGAAATCATCATGGCTCCTCCGCTCGCGCTGTCTGGTGCATCGTGACGAACCTGGAGGGGAACTCTGGGAGAACCTCAAGGTTATTTGAACAGGCTTGCGAAGAGGCAAGCCGAACTCCAGTTCAATTTGTTCGTCTTGTCCGCTATCGATGGAACCGTTGGCCTCTACTCGATGGCAAGTGTCGGATACGGCGACCTGAAATACAAGTCCAGGAGGACGATTCTCCTTCCCGTCGCTGCAAGAGGAAGAGTCATGAAGATGGCTAGGTGCGAGCACTGGATGTGCCTCTGCTGTAGGTGACTCTGTAATCTCGCCTTGCGCCTGTTCGTCGCGACGGCCTACGCTGTTGTATTGAGTTTCGGTGTCCCAAACCTCCGAGGTTGGCGAGGCAGGACGTAGAATCCTATCGAGGGCACGGATATGACCAGTTTGTCCACAGGCAACCGACTCAGTGTGAAAGGGACTCGCATCTTCCTGAGTCGTCGAGGCAGAGTCAGTCGACATGGTGGGCAAAAGGCCTTCGTTAGATCGTCCGCCGCTCGTTGGCTCTCAGAGAGCTGCAAGAACAAGGAGAGTGATAGGGAAGACAAAGAATAGGTGGGTTGGTGTCTATGTTCCTCTGCTTTCCGCACGAGTGTGGAACGGGTTTCCCGGGTCGAGCTTGTCTGTAACCCCTGATGTGAGCTCCAGCAAATTATCCCGCAGGTCCTCCACAATGCGACCTTGACCACTTCATGCCAACTTTCAGCCGGGTTGGCTCATGCACCTTCCTCCTGTTTCGGGGTTGTGGTCCGCTGTTGCTTGGCTGATGCCTGTGAGCCACCCCTTCGGGGGGACGTCTACCAGTCAGCCTAAGTCTTCAACCATCCCTTGCATCAAATAGTCCATGTATCCCTGACCAGGACACCTCCAGCTTCTGCATCTACGCGTCGATCACATCCCAAATCCACCAGCAGCCAACTTCCAAATAGGCACCGGGACGAATCTCTAGAGTCTAGGGTGACTGGGCGGACCGCCTCTTCCGAACCATGCATGCAGACTGGCCCTTAGCTCCCCTGCAGTGGGAGTCAGGGGGTGAGCGTGACGCAGGATTCTGCCTGTTGATTTCTCTTCCCTCGTCCTGGCATGGGAAGTGCTGGGGGGTGGCGAAGCTCGCAGGGAAGGAAGCCTCGTGACAAGGGAAGGGCTGCCCACGTCGGCATCCACCTCGGAAGAAGAAGGTAGCCTCTGTGAGACCTGCGTCCGCGGCTGCCGAGGTACGGATGTTCTGCAATACTGGTTGGATATGACAGTTATGAAATATTGGCAAACAGGCAGGGGCTCTAAAGCGAGCGGCTCCCAAGACTCGGTCCAGCTAACCAACCGACTCATCACGTTTACTCAGGGGCGAGTATTCCATTTCCCACCAACACGGGACAAATGTGACCCGTAAAATGCAAATCCGACTGTCCTTTGTCCAAGCCCCTGGGAAGACTGCAAGGGCTACGCCATGACCAGCACGCGGCCAAGCAAAGAAGGCGTGAAGCTGCTGTAGCTATCTTACTTGTTCTTTCCCCAAATACTTCCCTTGCCAGAGATCTAACAAGTTTTGTCCATTTCCTCGTTTTTCCTTTTGCCAACCCCCATTCTTTCCCGACACCCAGCATTGGACCGATACTCTACTTACGGGACTATTCACCTGATTTTTATTTTTATTTTGCTTTCCCCCTTCACTGAGCAAGAAGAGTCTATAGACAAGCCTGCAAGCTAAATGACAGCCCCCGCAGTAAGTGACATAAACCTAGGCGATACCATCGACAGGAATAGCCTTTTCTAACACGAGACTCCGTCTCTTTCTCTGCTCTAGCAGAAGAACAGCTTAGTCCGAATTCGAGACAACCAAAGGAGATCGCGCGCCCGACGGAGAGAGTATGTCCAGGAGCTCGAACAGCGACTGAGGGTATGCGAGCTCCAGGGCATCGAGGCTTCGACCGAGATCCAGATAGCTGCGAGGAGAGTAGCTGAGGAGAACAAGCAGCTACGGGAGCTTCTCAACAGGCATGGCTTTAGTGACGACCATGTTGCCCATTTCTTGCAGTCGGGGACTTTCGTGCCACTTGATGCCGACCAAGACCATCCTTCTCGCGCCGGCGACCCTGGGGCCGCCGTCCAGTCGCTGGAACAGCTCCTGGTGCCGCGTCGACTAGCCAATCTAGATCAAGACTTCTCCCTCTCTTCCCTCTATTTGCCGAGACAGTCATGTCGGGATCCCTCCACTACCAGCGGGTCGACGACGAGGTCGTCTATCTTGGAGTCGTCGCAGCTCACGACGTCCTCCTACGGCTATCAACATCACATGGGCATGGCTACCGCAGTCATGGGATTGGGGGTTCAATACAAATGCCCACTGATAACCCCTTTCAGTCGTGTGAGCACCACGCGACAAGGCAGTGTTCATTGTGAGCATCCGTCTCCGTCGATGCTGGACAGTCCCGGCCAACCCATGGCCACAACACAGGCTATGTTTATGGGCGACCGTCCGGCAATGCACTTACAACGCTCTCTACCGACATATACATATTCAGACTCGACGATACCACATTACGTTCCTCCAGGAAGCACCTCCGGCGGTTGATTTCCATGCCTCGGCCAGCGGTGACAGCAGAAATGTACATGTTGATGCTGGGAATTGCCTGTAAATACAAACATTCCCTTCAACGCCGTCACCTGTTCTATGACTGTATTTCATCGAAGCCCAGAGATCAAGGTGGTAGTCATTGGTTCCACAAGCCTGTAGTTGATCAGTAACCGCAAATCCGTTATCGTAGCGAACGTGAGCCGAGTGCGCGTAAGCGAACATGATATGGCGAGGCATTCAAGGGTACAGAGCCCAGATTTGTCTTGCAACCCGCAGTCTCAGTGGTTACGCGAACGTAAGACTCCGACCTTTGCCTGTTGGTTCCGCTGCTGCCTTGAGAGGTCCAGGCCAGCTGCCTGGTCCAGAGGGAAGAGCTACTTTAGGAGCAATAGTCTTTCATGCATTATCCTGTGCAAAGCTTACAAGGTGCCGCAGCCAGCAATCAATTCAGGTCGAGTAGCATCCGGCATGGGGCGCGCATGGTATTCCTGCCTGTTTCCATCAAACATGATTTGGCATACCCATCTCGGCCTGATTCCTCCTCAAGGTGCGTTTTGGCTCTAGTATACTGATAATACTCTAGTCGCCTCGGGCTTCAGCCTTGTGGTGCAAGGTCGAGCACTATAAAGTCCAAAACTTTCCTCGGCCCTGGCTGCGTATTTCCATGGCACCCACGCGGCCACGCCAAGCCCTCCACCGAGCTTGAGTATCCGAACTACGACATATTAGCCGTCTTCTGCGCCGAATTTCGCCGATGGCGGATGAAGCTAGCCCTCGTACTGAGGATGAGCGAGTCTTTGACTTGGCAACATACGCCGAAGCACTCCTCGCCACCGCCCCTGAATATAACTGCAACTTGCCGGACCAGTGTAAAAGCAGTGAACTGAGCAGAGTTCATGCCTTGCACGGGAAGCAGCGAGAAGCCTTCGCATCCGGCGCGGCACAAGTCCAGCAGAGGTCGGCATTCACATATGCAGTAGCGCCATCTAACATGGAGCAACCACATTCCCACCGCGATCGATACTATGTATGTCTGGTGGCGGGCTGCTCACTGTCATACGTTGATGAAAACGACCTGAAATCCCATTCAAAGGTTTGCATTGCATCGCATGGGACACACCGGGGCTTCCAAAGCCTGGCTGATGTTGAGGAGCCAAATCCGTTCCCTAGTGTGGTGTACGAGCCGAGCCCACCGTATGAGAGCAGGGCGACAGATTATGGCAAGATCGGTGAAGAGTCAGTCGTGATTCGTCACTTTCCCAGTACACAGTCCCCCTTGTCGGGAGTGGTGCAAGCGGATAGCCGTGCAGTGCGCGCCTCAGATGCCGCCCACCATGGGCTTGACCGTCAGAGCCGTCACCTCGCAGTCAATACCTGTGATCAACGCTCCCCGCGCCGACAGCCATGGCGATACGAGTCCGAAGGGTGCGACAGTCCGGTCCATAGGCATGGGCGCCATGCTAGGGAAGCCCACAACCGTGCACGTCGACAGCAACAGTGACAACCAGCTCTCTGTGCAACAGGTGGCAGGGCAGGATGAACGACCACAGCCGGGCTGCTTGTTCTTCTCGCAGACATCCAACATCATCCGAAGAGCCGACCGGGCTTGCCAGGCCTGCAGGGCAAGGAAATCCAGATGTAGCAGGACCCAACCATGTGAGCGGTGCGTTGCAGGGGGGAAGACTTGCCAGTATTCGAGCATCCCAAAGAAGGGTTCCGCGGCATCGGCATCATGTGGTGCATACAGATCACACGTAAGCAGAAACTGTCATGATTCGGATTCCTATTATACTAATATCCTCTAGTCGCGATGAAAAGCATACGGAACCTGTGGGGGGAGGGGGGCGCATTAAGGGGTTAGGTCATAAAGCGCTGCCGCAAAGCTATCTGGCCCCAAGCCTGCCCACGGGATTTATCTTCGAAGCAACTCATTACTAGCCACTTACCGCAAGGCAGTGGCATCGGCTGCAAGTGTTATTGTGGGGATAAAGCTGCGGACAGAAATGAAGTCGAAGACACGCGGATGCGACGTGACGATGGGACGATCTTCAATTTCAGCCGGGGTTGCCAAATCGTTAGCCGCGAGATCGTGGAACAAGCAAGGGGCCTCTTCGGAGTTGACCGAGTGGAATATGGTTATTTGTGTAGATAATTCACTTTGAGTACAGTACTGTATCTGCCAGCTGGCTAATTGTGTCCACATAAGTAGCCCGAGTTTTATTCCTCCGAGCCAGGATGGGATTTTGGTAGTTATATTCGGCTCTATAAGTCTATAAGAGTCACATACTGTACGGCAGTGGCGGCGACAACGGCTGCAAGTCGTTAACCTCATCTCCCTGGAATTGTTCGCGGCATCGCTAAGTGAGCCATTTACAAATGAAATCGTCTTCATCAGTCCTTTTTGAGCACGGATAAAAGCAAGTGATTGGCAAAAGAGTCGAAGGTAGGCGTAGGCGGAGCTGGGTTAGCGCGTTGCGGCCAGGATAGTGTCGAAGTTTGTCGCGAAGCACGTCTGAGATCTTGAGCTCGGGGTGGCCATAAGGGGTAACTTATACAGCTAAGGGCCCCGACAGGCTAGACAGAAAGGCAGCCTGCAGAGAGTTCTGAGGCTGCAGAAGGCTATTAGGAGACCGCATTAGGCAGCCACATAGGCTGTAGAGAGACTGCATATACGGGGGAAGCTGAAAGAGCCCTCGGCGACTAGGGAAAGTCAGTATGTAAAGGGGAGGCTGGGGAAAGGAGCCCAGCCTCCTAGATATTGTACCTATACAACTGAAAAGGGGATATCAATAGGGAACCAAGGGATTTAAATAGGGAGCCTAGAAGAGGCTTAGAGGGCATTGCAAGAGGGACAGACACAACGGAATACAACAGAACACACCCATTATTAAAACAATCAATGCCCACTTGCATGCTCTCTTCGTGAGAGTTATGAGCCCGGGAGAAACAGAGTTTCTGTAACTTCCGGTGTGCAGATTGCAACCAGCCTTTCTTCATCCTTGTTGCCTCTCAAATTATACAGTCAGCGAAGATGTCGAAGAACCTAGCATCACGACGAACAATTCTTTCGGAGCCCCAAGATTGGGATCAATGGATAAAAGAGCTTCGATCCCATACGGACTTTTTGATTCATCATCTTCTCTTTGAAGATAACGCGCAGCCATTCACCCTTCCTCGAGAACCCCAATACGCTGATTTCTCGCCTACCACAGCCGACGCAGCTACCTCCCAACCTTCCGCTAACATTCGTTCGGCCACAGCTAGTGCTGTTCCTGCTGCTATTAGTGCTGTTCCTGCGGCTATTAGATATACTGATCTTACAGCTACGCAGCAAAAGGCGTATGGAAATGCGGCTAATGACTACGAGACTCGACGAAAGCGATATCTCTACGAGATAAAACTTATTACAGCAGCTAGATCAGCTATTACGGACTCAGTCAGCAAGGCAAAGCTGACCTCTTTGCGGGAAGGTGACTCTCTTCGTCAGTGGCTAATCAAACTAGAGACTTCGACGGCCCCTACTCCCGGCTTTATAACTGAACGGATCAGGAGGCAATACCACAGTCATATTCAAAGCTACGGGCCAAGAACGAGCCTTTCGGACTGGCTAACAAAATGGGAAGAGATTATGGAGGATGCAGACCTCTATTTTATTACCGAGGCCCTTACAGGCCAGTGGTTGCGTGACCTTGCTAATGTGATTAGGCACCTAAGTGACGGCTACGCAACAGTCTTTCGAGAAGAGGGCCGAAAGCTTGACGAAGAAGCTGTTATTGCGCAATTTAACCACTATAAGGCCCTTCGACCTTATACGACAAGGACCGCACCAGCACCTTCCCTAGCAGCAGCTGCTTCGACACAGTGGACCTACCAACTTGCAGCTAGGAAAGTCCGGGAAATTGCGGAGCAACAGCCAAAACGATCATACGGAGGGATTAAAAGAGGTAACGTACATGATAAGCAGGACTTATCGTGGGGTCGATTTGCGGAGTAATTTCGGGAAATCGTATGCGATTACATATCTACCATCTGATAAGTGCCCGGCGCCGCGCACGCGAATATCTCCACGGCCAGCAGCCCAATCGAGGCCATTCCGGGGCCTGGGGGACTACTCCACTCCGGCGGCGCGTTTGGTCGAGGAGCACTCCGTATAGGCTACTGTCCGTCGAGATATTTGCGTTGCAGCGCCGCGAATGGGTAATGGGGGGGCTAGGCTCGGCTACAGGAACTGCGAGATAGTAATGCACCGATCCTACGGCCCTTTGATCCTCAAAAATATGTCTAGTTACATGGATATAAATATGTATAAAGACTCTACGAGGCGGCTGGCTTACGTCGACGAGGGCGGTCCGCTTTCCCATCCGGGTCCTCCGCCCCGACGGCCCTGACCTCGAGTTGGACCTGGTCCCGGGCCTGGACCTGGGTCATCGGGCACGGGGGTCCCTACCTGTACCCGTATCTGGCCCTGGCCCTGGCCCCGATCCTGGCCCCGCCGTCGGCGCTGTTTGAGCTCGTCGACGAGTCGGTTCAAGCTTCGGCCGGCGCGTAACAGCTCTAGCTCTGCAACGGCCGCCTCCTTGCATTTGCCGGACGCCATACGGGCCAACAGCTCGTCCCAGATCACCTTCCGGCGACAGAACTGCACTCTGACCCCGTTCCCCGGCGCCAGCGGCTTCCCACGTCTCTTCCAGCTCCCGTACGGCCTTCTGACCTGCAAACCCTTCACCCCATTCCTTCCAGACGTCCCCACCGTAAAGACCCTTGCCAGGGCTGTGACGATAGGCATGCCTGGTACCAGAGGCTCTGGGGCGGGGCCGGGGCCAGGGCCGGGCTGTATTGAGATTCAAGGTAGGTACTGTTGACGGGGCCGGGGCCGGGGCTGGGGCCAGCGCCTCTGCTGACCCGGCTCCGAAGTAGCCGGTAAAGGTGATAGGGACCTTGCCTTGGAGGAGGGCATCGAGGCCGCCCTGAATCCCGTCCAGCCGGGCCTCAAGCCGGATGGCGAGCCGCTGACTATTCTGTAACAGGGCCTCCCGCGTGCTCTCTATGACGCCGCTTAGTTCCGGCAGCGCGCGTCGTACGAGCAGGCTTACCGGCTCCATAGCCCCTACCGCGGTGGACCGCACGGCGACGGCGAACTCGTCCCACTCGGGCCCGCCAAAGGGCGTAGGCGAAGAACGGTAGCGACGGGTAGCGGAGCTGTAGGACGGCCAGGTCCTGCAGAAGTACTATACGCAGGCGCCGCATAAGCTTAAGGAAGCCGTCAGCGGCTAGGTCGTCGTCGTCGAGACCGCCTTCTGCCCAGCATTGCCGGCGCGCCCGCGCCTCAAAGCGGGGTTCCCACTCCTCGATCCACGGCCACAGCTGCTTTTGTAAGACGTACGGGGGTTCGTGAGCCGCACGCGCGAGTAGTCCCCGGGAGGCCGAGAAGCCGGCGACGATACGCATGAACTGCCGCGGTAGGTGCGTAAGATATGCCTGGCAGAGCACGCTCTGGTTCCAGCGGCCGGCCTGCGAGATCTGGGCGAGCGACGTGCCATGGGTCTCCGCGTCCTGGGCGCCCACCCTGCGCGGGAGGTGCGTCTTCTTCGACGCGATAAGGCCGGCAGCGCCGAAGATACGCCAGGTCTCTTGTAGCTGCGTCGGGTACGAGCTCCTGCTCGCGGTCCCGCCCGACGAGGACCTTGATCCGATACCAGTCCTGACGGCGCCGGAAGGACGGGGCGGTTCGCCGGCGACGTGCCAGCGCCAAAGAAGAGCTGTGCTAGGGCCCTTGCGTACAGAATAAGGGTCCTTGTGCCGGAGCGCGCCCATAAACTCCTTCCTCGCCGTCTTATTTAGCTTGCCGTCCCGTAAAAGGCTTACCAGGCAACCACAGGGGGTCGGGCCCTCCGAAGGCGGATAGTCGAGTAGGGATAGGTCTGCAAGCTCCATCTTGCGCCGGTTCTCCCCCCGTAAGAGGTAGTAGTGGCCGAAGAGGAGGTCGACTCGCGTACGGAGGTTTTGCGGCGTATACGCGGCGCCAGTGAGAAGGAGATCCTGGATCCGAAGCCATTCATCGGGAGGTAGCCGGCCTGGATCCCGTCGCTTCCGCGGTCTTTAAAGGAGGCGCGGTCGTGCTTCCCCGCTGCCGGCCCCGTTGCTCAAGGAATCCTCGTACGGCGGCGCCCGGGATTCTCCGTATTCGCGTTGCCGTGAGCCACCTGGAGCCTCCATAGCTCGATAACGGCCGCGATATAGGCGTCGATAGTGCCCCTCGTAAGCAAAGACCCTTCGGTAAGGTCTACTGCAGCCGTCGCGAGGCCTGTGGGTGGCACGTAGCCCTCGCGGTCGTCAGCGAGCAGCTCGGCGGCCTCGGCCAGGGGACCTCAAAGCTTCGGCCAGGCTTTCGGCCTCTGCCATGGCCGCGGCCTCGAGCTGCTCCTGTTCGCGCTGTTGCCGTACCTGTACGGCCTCGCCGTTGCCGTTGCCCTAATCTTACCCGCGCGCGCGGCTTCTTCTTCTGCGGCGGCACAACGCGTCGTAACAGGATATCCTCTTTGAGCCACGCCGCCAGCTTGTCCGGCGTTACGAGCTCGCCGTCGGGCCAGCTATAGAGCGAGCCGTCTGCTGCAGCCCGAGGCGTATGGCACCAGGCCTATACGCATTTGTCTGTTAGCCGCCTAGGGGGCCGTACGTGACAGGGATCGAAGTGGAGGACCGGCCGGGGGACGCGCCTTCCACTCCCGCTGCTTCGCCGCGTAACTCCGCGTCGTGTTCGCCGGCTGTTCGTCCTTCTTCGCCTGGATGCCCGCCCTCCGGGCACGGGCGCGCTCGTCAGCTGCCGTGTACGAGTCGTCCGCGGCCATCTCGGTCGATCGGGCAACCTTCCTACGGGGCGAATGTCTGGGCTGGGTTGGCCGGAAACCCGATAAGTCGGGTGGGAACTTATCAAATGCACTTATCAGGCGTCCTGCACACGATTTCACGGGCGGCGTTTTGCGGGCGATAAGTGGTCACGTGGCCTAAGTGAATTACGACGCAATTGCGGGCACCACCGATAAGCATGCGCATCTCACCTTACGGTACTGGTGAGTGTGTAGGAAAACGGTTGGAAATAGTACGAAGGCTTGTTGGCATTCGGTTTTGCCGCACCGCTCGTTGGTTGAGCTGCATCAGAAGTGCCTACGATGTAGACTTCTTGACCCTGGACAAGAAGAGCCGCAGCACCGGTGATGATAACAGCGGTCAAGCGCATGATGATGAGCTGAAGGGACTCGAAGAAACGTTGGGAGTGCGATAATATCGAGCAACCGACCGTCGCCGCAGACCACCTGGGCAACCCGACAGCTTTGTACATGTACAATGCTCTAAGCAGGTAGTAGTAGCTTCACGTTCCACGAATGAGTTGTCCCTTTGTATATTGATATGGGCCAGACTCCGCCATTCCGGCCCGTACCCTCAAAGCCCGCAGCGGTTCCTCGGTCGTCATCCTTCGTTTCAAGCGTTCAAGCGTCATCACATGAAGAGAGAGCGCAAGCAACAACAAGCTACACCAGCCCATATGGTTCCTACTGCAGTGTGATCCAACGGCGTGCTATTTCCTAGTACTGTTTCTCGGAACCTCCGGTCCGACGGACGGACCTGTGTCGGACTGCGTCGATGAAAACCAAACCCAGTCGTCATGCAATAAATAGTACAAGACGGCATCGCTTGGGCCGGACAGCACCGAGAGTGATCGAGATTAGAGGTCGTTTATTATGGCTCGTCCGGGAATATCTCGAGATTGAAAAGGTACGAGTAGAGCTCAGAATTTGTGGGCTGAATGAAAACATGCCCCGCAGTGCCATTGACGAGGATTGATAACCTTGTTAATACTTCGTACTAGCGGTCGATTTTTATGGTGTTGTGGGTATTGTTAACCCACCCAACTCCTCACTCACACGCCAGACTAACCTCATCAAGCTCGTCCCATACCGACCTTGCCCGTACAAGTACTAATTACTCGTAATTCGTATGATCCTTCTTCTGCCGCGGATCGGTAGGCTCCTCGGCCGCGGGCACATTGGATATTACCACACGGAACGGCACAAGGCTCCACCATCAACCCTCCGAGATACTACTTCGTGCGGAAAGGACGAAGCAGGTACTACATCGCATATTATAGACCGGCACCGGGGCCGAGGATCGGATATTGTGGGCTAAAGGAAACATCCCGAGGTGCCATTGACGAGGATCGATAACCTTGTTACGGACGGAGTAGTAGAGTAGCCGTTGGGCTTAAGGTGTTGTGGGTTTGTTAACCTACAAACACGGCGGAACAACGTCGTGCCTTACCAAGCTTGCAAGCTTACACCTTATGAGTAACTTATGTACGTGTATACATCTTAGTGCGACGGCTATTGTTTTCGTAGTAGTAGTAGGATTTATTTCGCCCGGAGGGAGGTCCCTATAAGGCCTTTACACTGTCTAGAGTACAGTTCAACACGTTTGTTCCTTGACTCCCCAAGCCCCACAGATCATCTTACGCTGCGCCAACCATTCCACTGTTCGCTCCATGACAGACCTGCTTGAAGGTCAATTTCTCCAAGTGTTCAGCATCCTATTCCCAGCAACTGAAGCGCGATGTGCCGAAGTTGAAGCGTGGTTGTGTTAGTCATTGATGGTGGTTGGTAGGGAGCCAATAGGCTCACGGTACCCGCGAATCTAATATTTCGCGGGCACCGTGACAATGACTAAGCAGATGTCGCAGGGGAACGCGAGCCCGGTGACCGCGCGTGTTATTGACGGTCGACAACGCGCCTCAGCAAAAGCTTGGGCTGCGACGCGGGGCTATGCCTTCACAACGGAAAGTCCACCAGAGCCAAGGGTGGCAGACAGACAGTGACCTTCGCGTGCGACCGGTCTTGTCGACCCCAAATCCGTCGATAGAACGTCAGCGAAGACAACAACCCGAGGGACGGGCTGTGAGTTTTCGATTTTGGCCAAAGAATCAGCCGACAGGCAATCTTGGGCTGTGCGACACCGCCCAGACAAACGATTTTCCTGCATAATCACGCGCCCAGTCGCCACCCTTCTGCTCATCCTGCTCATCGTAGGTTGACGGAGAAAGATATTGAAAAGTTATCGCGCCTTTCTAATGCCGGCATTGTCCCAAAAGATATTCGGACCTATATACGACAGAACTGCGATTCTCTTGCCACACAACAAGACATTTACAATGGAATTGCAGCTACCAAGAGAGATGTATGCGAAGGGCAAAGTTCAATTCACGCTTTGGCCAGTCAGCTCGACCAGGAGGGTTTTGAGTCGGATCCAATTCGGCCAAGACGGCCGAGTGACCGCAGTTCTGTTCGCTCATCCAGAGTCCTTGACGTATCTCCAGGCATACCCAGATGTCATGTTGCTAGATTGCACGTACAAGACGAACAAACACGGCATGCCGCTCCTCGACATGATAGGAGTAGATGCTTGTCAGCGATCATTTTGCATAGCATTTGCATTGGTGGGGAGACCGAAGCTGACTTCGTGTGGGCGTTGGATCGCCTGAGGTCACTGTACGAACACCATAGCGCCCGCTTACCCTCTGTCGTCCTAACAGACCGCTGCATCGCCTGTATGAACGCCGTTGCCATTTCCTTTCCCACTTCTTGCTCACTACTCTGTCTGTGGCATGCCAACAAGGCCGTCCTCCGCTATTGCCGGCCAGCCTTCGTCCGCCAGGACCAACCGGAGTCCACAAACGCAGAGACAATTGATACGTCAGAGAGCAACGGCTGGTCTGAGTTCTACCAATTCTGGCACTCGATCATGGCTGCACCAAACGAAGAAGCATTCAAGGACCGAGCTACGCAATTCGAGAAGAAGTACCTACCCAACCACCTCAAACAAGTTGGATACATCAAAACTTTCTGGCTTGAAGGGTATAAGGAAAAGCTTGTTAAGGCTTGGGTTGATCAACATGCTCATTTTGGAAATACAGTCACGTCGCGCGTGGAGGGCATACATGCATTGTTGAAGGCCCATCTCAAAAAGTCCACGCTAAATCTTTTCGAGGCTTGGAGGGCGATGAAGCACGCGTTACTCAATCAACTGTCAGACTTGAGATCGAATCAAGCCCGACAGCAGATTCGGGTCCCAATTGAGCTCTCTGGGCCCTTATACGCTTCAGTGCGCGGTTGGGTCTCCCATGAAGCGCTGAGAAAGGTGGAGGAGCAGCGGAAGATGCTTGGTAGGAGAGATCCTCCCCCCACCGCCAACTTGCACGGGGGGCTTTCACCAAGTCCCACGGGCTGCCTTGCCTTCACACTCTAAAATCTTTGCAAGAGCAAGGACAAGTACTCTTACTTGAGCACTTCCATACGCACTGGCACCTGCAGCGGGATGGAACTCCCCGGCCGCTGCTAGAGCCGCGCCAGCGAATCGAGTCGACCTTAGCAAGTTCGGCTATTCCCAAGCAGAGCACTCGGAGAGAACCCAGTGCATTTGAGAGTATCGAGGAGGCTCGTAAGCGCCACCCACATGCAGCAGGTGCCATACGGTTGGTCATAGGATGACCGCGAAAGCCTGCCCGCTGCGCTTTGGAGAGCTGCTTCAGAGACTACGTCGTCGATGCATTCACGATCGGTGTCACCATCGGAGATCGTACCGTCATCCCAGTACGTGCAAGCCGCTTTGGACGCACAGGAGCCAGAGCTTGCAACTGAGCCGCCAACTGATGCGTCCCTGGCGACGGATTTGGGAGTGTCGCAGGAACCCTTACAATTCTGCCCACTACAGCTCCAGACCATCCTCCTGCCCAGTCGGGTCAGTCCTTTCACGCCGAAATAGGTTCAGTTGCCACGACCTTTCCCGGTGACCAAGATTCCGGGCCCGTACCGGGTCCGCCCGCGATGCCACTGAGCTGCTGGTATCGCCACCACCTATCTCACCTGACTTGCCAGCCCCACCGCCGCCGAAATATGATTCACCAGAAGCTATACACAAAAGTTATACCGCTGCAAGAAGCGCATGGTATGCAGCGCAGCCGGCCGGCAGCATCAAGACAAACCAACAATACCGCAAGGCAATGAGGCTTCCAGCTAGGTATGACAAGCAAAGCTATGAATGGTGTATGGACTACAAACAAATGTCCAGGCATTGCGCCACTACAACGGGGTTGAGAGCATGGACGAAAGAAGAAATGATGGCATACCTTGACTGGAGCCATGCAGAAGATCAGCGTGTTGAAGCCCAGATCATGAAGGAGATGGGAGACAATCCGTTAGCCAACACACGGAGGGCGTGGCCGACATTTGGCGACAGGTAGAAAAGGACAGCCGAGAGCAGGAAACGCTGTATTCTGCACATGTTGAGGCAGATGATTGTATTTTCGTCGAGCCGTAGTTGGCTCTACTGATATTAGCAGCTCTTTAGTTCTAGTAGACAGTAGACTCACACATACGACGAGCACAGTGCCGACAGACTACCCGCATCATGGCTTTACGCAGACAACGGACTGTGATTAGTCATTTTCGCGGTGCCCGCGAAATATTAGATTCGCGGGTACCGTGAGCCTATTGGCTCCCTGGTTGGTACGCCGATTGTGTTCTCTCATGACGCTGTTCCCTGTTGACGGGCGGGAACCCGGGTGTACCCTGTTCGCTCAGGGGTGCCTCCAGCCGGCTTCGAACCGACCCCTCTGCGACGCAGAGGCTCCAGACGTGTCACCACTACGCCTATTGTTTTCGTTTGCTCTTTCGTCTGCCGCGGATCCGCAAGCTCCTCGGCCTCTGGCGCATGGCACGAAACGGCGCAAGGCTCCACCAAACAATTCCCAGGATACTACTTCGTGCGGAATGGACAAAGCAAGCAAATCGAGTATTATAGA